CTGTCAGTTGATTGGGTCTCGTTTTCTTTTTTGTATATACCTAGTTTTTCATGCTCGACTAAATAGGAAATTATATGTGTGCCGTACCTCCGAGACTTTATACATTTGTGATCTTGCTCAGCCTGGCAACTTTTCAACTGACAAAGACAAAGGGCTCAGCTTTAGTGGAGCTGATGAGATCCCTTAATGTTTGAAAATGAACTTGCATGTGGCTTCAACCTTAAAAGTCTTTTCCATCAACCAAAGTATAGAGGAGAAATATTTATTGAAATTCCAAGCATAATTCAAAATCATGAGAAATCAAGGTTGTGTCTGATAACCTCTTTGAAATAAAGGTGTCTCTATTCTCTATTATATGAAAAAAAAACACCTGGAGGTCATTCATCCACTCCTTTTCTGTTGCATTGGTTGCTATCGTTTCGCTTCACTTCTTCCTTGTAATGAAAAATATTTTGTGAGGCATTTTCTTTCAATCTCCATTATACATATGCCACACATTATGGTTAAGGTCCTCAAGGGTTTAAAACTCCGTCTTTGCTCATATTGGTCGTTGCCGGTTTCATGTAAAAGCCCCTCAGAGCCACAGAGGCTCCCCACCACTGACTATATTTGTGTTCTGTTTTCTCTGAAACATAATACAAATATCGCAGACTTGCAAAGGTATGTTTCATAGCTATGGGTATTAAATAGTTTAATCATCTTGAAATACTAAAGCAAATTAAATGTACCAATCAGGCAAGTTTCAGAAAGGTGTCAGTCAAAATGAAGTGCTACTCCAAACAATACGAAATCCAGAAAGAAAGCCCTCACCATCAAGATATAGGCACAGCATACTAAAATAAACCTGAGGCTGAATGGGAAAATATTATCTGGCCTAGTTCTACTCAGTAGGAAATTATCTCAACATTACACAGAGCTGATTTGGCTTCATCCTGCTACAGCTATGTCCATGTAGACTTAATTAAACTTTTCAGTAAGATGTCCTCCTGGAGTTATGCTGCAAATGTCTGTCTCCCTCTCTATTAACTCAGATTTATGCCTGCTGTAGTTCGGCGTTACAATTGAATAGAAGGATGAATTTTTTTTCTCCTGTTTTCTTTTTTCCTTTACATTTATTAACAGGCCAGCCTCGCTCAACAGCTTTTTCTGTAATCTAATTTCCATGCCAGCATTGCTTTAGGCCCAGCACTATGTTCTCAGCTTTATGTGCCAGATGCCACACAGTTTCACAAGGATGTTTTGGGCTTAAGTGCCACCCCGAAGAACAAATTCAGTGTAGCTCTGGCAGAAGAGCCTTCTAGGCTCGAGACTGAATGCATCGTAATCCTCACACTTGAGAGAACCTGCAGTGATAAAAAAGGAGGGTGCAATCGAGATTAAGAGAAATAAATATTCCTCTGTAATTTTTAGATAGATACAGTCTGGAAATTCTAATCTAAATATATTAATTAGCTTTTAAATGGTTGTCTAGAATCAGCATCTGCTGCCTTTGAGTTTGTCCATTTCCGCTTTATGGGATGCTTAAAATGTCAGATGAGGTCCTCTTGAGTTTGAGCCTAGGGTAACCGGCTAGTTTGAGTATTTGACAAGTGAAATGTGTACGTCTGTGTTCAGGGGGGCTTTTGAGAAAGATAAGAGAGAGGAGTCTGTGTTTAGTTATGCTGATCACAGGTACCCTTCAAAATGTCAGAGCACTGCGAGTGATTAAGGAGGCTGCAAATAAAGACAGCTGCATAACTTAAACCCCGCTGAAAAAGGGCAGGAGGACGGAATAGCAGATGAAAACCTAAAGTTCAACATTAAAGTGAAGGGTCTGAGTGGGATCGTACAAAAGGACAACTAGAAAGAAGAGATGGAAAGACAGGAAATAATGAGTTGAACAAGAGAAGAGACTAAAGCAAAAGAGAAATAAAAGACATGGCTCACAGTGACATTTGCCGTAATCTAACATTCCAATAGTTGCCTTTGCAGAGGCTAGAGGACAGCACTTTCTGCCTCAGATTAGCACTGCCCTGAAGTTAATTAACAATGTCAGTAATCTCATGAGTTCAATCAACATGTAATCTAAAATGAAAGAATCTGGTAAAAACTAACGACCAAGCATTTTCCTGCTCAATTCATGCATTTTCTCATCAACTCAGTGACATAAGTTAAACTGAAACTCCAGGCAGCAGCTGGTGGTAACTAAATCCCAAATCTGTTGTCCTTCAAACTTGATCATTGTTCGGTTTTGATTAAATGGAACTATCTTTTGTATAATTTTTCTTTTAAGTTCTACCAAAAGCTGACATTTTTCAAAAAAGGGCCAATTAAAACTGAATGAATAATCTTATCTAAACCTGCTGGGTGGGAGATTAGATGAGTCTCTGCCTGGTGTGAACCTGAGTAGGTGTGTGTAAAAGTGTGTGCAGTGATGGGTGGAGAGGCAGGTAAATTAATGTAACAGATGGTTTGAGGTACATGGCAGGAAATGATTGCGAAAGGTCATAGGACAGAGCCTGACATTTACCAAGCCGCACATCTTATAGCCTGTAATATACATCCACAAACACACAAAACCACAAAGGGCAGCGGGTTTCAGCGTTCATCCTCTTTGAGCTCCTAACAACCGAGCTGTGACTACGAAGAGCTGCTTTTTTTTTGTTTTGTTTGTCTGCAATTCAGATCTACTCTCAGGCAACCGTTGCTTAGTGGGATTACGGCAAGCGTCTTGAGATCCAAGACCTCCAATGCAACACGCTCTAAAACTCGCACAGATACTCACAAATGTGCTGGCATGGCTCCAACTTCATTACAGCATGCCCCGGCAGGCTGACTGAGTGATCAAAGCTAATCACATTTAATCATATCTAATCATATGTAATGACCAACGCTGTTTGCACAGGCATGACGGCCCTCTCCACTGCCTGTCCGTCTTTTTCCTGTCCTCCTTTGCATTTGACACACCCACCGACACACAAATACACTCGCCATCTTGCCGACCCACCTTCCCCCCTCCTTCACTGTCAGTTTCCCTGTCGTCCTTGTCAAAATCAAGACTGAACACAGATGGAGGTGAAGCCATTTGAAAGGAGGAAATTATAGGGTGAAAGAAAGATGACGGATGGACAGAAAACATCAAGCCCAGAAGCAGGTGCAGCTCAGAGTACCTGTGAGGGTTCTCGTGCCTCAGAAAGTTTATCCATGCTCTTCCCTCTTAACTCCACAACAGGCTCCCTCCGACCAGCTTTGCCTTAACTATTGTGACAATATTGTAGTCAGCAGCTTCATTTTGCGCGTCATCGTTTTCTATCCTATTTATATTCAGTACACAGTTTTAAAAGCCGCTCTATATTAAGCCTTTAGGATTTCTTCCTTTGTTTTTCCTGGCTTTGATCAGATATCTAAGTCCCACTGAGATGCTTCCTCTGACTGCAGCTACATGAAATGATAATGCAGTCTGACAACTGGAACTGGTGGAGATTTAAGTAGACCGCACACAAGGTAAAAATATAGTCGGATAAATCTATAGATTTTACACGGGTTTTTATGAGTTCTCACTTAATACAGTTTATTCTGCTAGATTGAGCAGGTCTGTTTGCCTAACTGTCGTTTAAGTGGATTACGATATAGATTGTCTTTATGTAACCTTCAGATACAAAGTCCTTAAGTCAGATTTTCAGTTCTCCAGATAGTTCATTTCTTTACCCTGGTTCCACATCTAACCTAGTTTCTTCCTGTGGACCAGGAACAGGTCTTAAAAGGAAAGCAGTCTTCTCAATTTGCAGGTGAATTGCTTTTTTCAAAGGCATTTGTAAGTTTCAAAACACGCATTTATGAGATGGTCAAGTGACATCTGAATCACCTGTCCCTTAAACCTCTCCGACAGGGAAATTGCTTAGCAAATCCCTGGCCCTGGCCAAAGGTACTGATGCAAGAGACTTCCTAAGATCTGAACTTCTCCTTGAAGTTTTTTTTTTTCCTTAATGTTCATGTTGTACCTCTTCCTTAAGTCTCCTCCGATTTTTTTTTTTTAATTCAGGATCAGCACTGAGCTGCATGACACCAGTTATGCAGCAGTACTGAAGTTATAGAGGGCAAACCTGTGGAAAATAAACAGCCATGGCCGAGTAGTGGGTCTGAATGGAGTGAGAGCATATCTGTTTGGTCAGATATGTGTGAGACAGACAGCTGAAAGGCTGTTTGTGTAGATAGAGGTCAGAACATCACCAGGATAGCTTTTTGCTGACCCCAGCCTTTACAGTAAATCAGGGTAAATACCAGTTTATGATTGCACTTTGGAGACCATTTGTGCCGGTCACAAAGTGAAAGATTATAGGAATTAAACCGACGCAGTCCTACAGAAGGTCATCAGCATCTCACTCATGGCTTTGCTGGCATTGCTAGTTGCAGGATCAATGCTCACAGGGTGAAATCGGCAAAACGATAACAAAGCAACCAACAAGCGACAAAAACATTAAAAACTGTATATTATTCTGTCGTCGTTTGGCATGTTTTGAGACATGAGCTTCATTAAGCAACAGCAGTTAGAAGAGCATCCGACAAGCTTTGCCCTGCACGGCTGCAATGTACAAGTTTGGATGTGGTTAACATAGTAAAATCACATTTTCAGACGTTTCTAAAGCCACCATTGCATCCACATTCACTTTGATTTAATGAATCCCCTGCCTACAAAATTATCAAAACTGTATGTTAAAGTCCTTTGTATTTTTTACTGTTCCTAAATTAAACAAAAGCACTGACTATCGTGGAGAGTATTTTGGGAACCACACTTGTGTCTCTAACTGCCACAGGCAGTAAAGTGTGGCACGGTTTAAATATTGTTTGAGAGGACTATGCAGCCTTCAAGGGTAAATATCTAAGTAGAGACGTGGCAGTAAAAATCCTGCATCCGAAAAGAAAACTAATTATAGCCAAGGTCTCAGATTTGTGGAGGTGTGCTTTGAAACCCTAAACAAACAACAGAGAAGACATCGGGAATCTGTTGCTTTTTCCTCCAGGATGCTTTGCTGCGGCTGGCTGCAGTTGTTGATGCGCGCTCGCTGCGAGGGGCCCTGCGAGACAGCATACAGGAGCTGCTTCCCAGCACGGTATTTGTTCACACACTCTAACGCACATCACTGAAATTTCATTCAGTTTATTACGTAAAAAAAAATCCTGTTAGCTTCGGAGAGGTGGAACTGAGGAACACCAGGAAACAGGGTACAAACCCCCCCATTACAGATAGCTTTATTTTTATGGAGTGTCTAATCTAGAATCTGATCACAAATAAAAAAATGTTTGTTTATGTCTGGTTTTCCCTACCAGGAGTGTGTATGTGTCTACATGCTGGAAGGGGGCTCAAGGCTGCTGTCTGATGACCCACCACATGAACTGCCTAAGGAGGGAACGATCAGGTGTGTTCCGTTTGTGTGCCTGTGCGACAAGCGGCAGATGCTTCGTCCCGGTAAATCGCATTGGTGAGGGCGGCGATACTGAGAGAAGCAATAAAACAAGGAGAGAGAATCAGAGCCTAAACAGAAATGCCTGTTTCTGTAGGTGAAAATTGAGTTTCACCTGAATGAAAATGTGCGGCTCAATCCAAAATCTGGTAATCAGTGCAGAGTTACCGGTGTCACAGTGAGAGAGCTCGCTGAAAACAAAGAATTTCTCTCTCTCTTTCGTCTCATTGTTATTGCATTTAACTTTTTTCCAGACTCCATTTCCTTCTCCTGTTTTCCATCTTATTTAACATCTCACCGTCTGACAGCCTTTATACTCTTGTCAAATTTCTACCTCGCTGCCAGAGTTGCTCTTTGCCATCATTTCCTCTCAGCCTGCCCTTTCCCCTGAGCGCTGAGCCGCCTGTATTTTTGGTCTTTCAACCCACACCTCCTGTCCCGCCTGTTTCCAGGGCCTCTCTTTTACTTTCAGTCCCACTCCCTGTGGAAGTGTTGCGGGGCTAATCACCCAAATGACAGTGCCCTTGGTCCCTCAGTGAGGCGCAGCAACCCTCTCCTCTGCTAAGTGCGCTCTGAGGCTCTTCTCTGCACCCGCGTGTGCTGCAGCGACAGCTGCCCAGAAGCTGGCAAAAACTAATACTACATTATTGATGAATCTGTCTGCTTGTCAGACAACCCTCTTTGCAGCACCTCATTGCCACGGAGACACAGTATCCCACACAAAAATGGTTGCGAAAAAACAAGCACAGACAGCAAATGTATCCTCATACGCATCCTCTCGCATGCGTAGAGGTGAGCCGCAGGGAGGATATCCAAAGAGCTACAGGACACTTTACTTTCCTCTCTCTAATTCAACCTGCTTATATAAGCCTGTTATCAAGACCTTGGCATACACCCCCGCACACACTCACGCAGTTGATGAACCATTCAGAGAGGCAGAAGGCTATATGCTTGGGCCCCAATTCCTCACCATTTACAACGATGTGCAACCCCATTAAGGAGGCTCCCACAGATATACAACAAGCCCTAACAAGTTTGGCCAAGACTCTGTCCAGGACTGTTTATTTGACTAAACTATTTGTGACATAAATAGATAGACAGCTAAATGAACTCTCCAAGCTAAAAAAGTTTGAAACTATGTAGGTTTAAAAAAAAAACTGTCTAAAAAGATAGGATACCTTTATAAATGTGCAATCTCTCACACTTTATTGAATGACATAGATGTGTGTTCATTCCAATAAAATAAGATGATATATTTTTACAGCTGATATGATTTCAAAATTAAATAGTTTTTAAAAAGATTTAGTAAGCACTCAGATAAATTATATTTAGGCTTCAAATTCAGATATTTTTTCATATTGTTTCATGCAATTTTAGTATATTAGTATTTATATTTCCGGTAGAAATACTGCATTATAAAGTATCGAAACCCTTGATGCTAGATGCTGAGATATGACCAGAAAGTAAATTATTGTTTTTCATTTTAGATTTTCTGTATTAATGAACATGTAACCTTTGCCATACATTTCCCTTTCCTTTTCCTTTATTTTCTAGAATATCACATTTCCCTCACAAAGGGGAGAATTCTCAAATGTAAAAATCCAACGATCAAACAGCTGCATGAAAAACAGCAGCTGTTGCAGCAGCACTCCCCTGAGTTCCTTAAATCAGACTCTTTTCTCTTAATGCTGATTATGTTATTATCTGATACGGAAAATCACTAAATATCTTCACATTACATATTCTAAGACAGATTCAGCAAGAAGACTATTTTTGGAACTGCAGATGGTGCCAGTATTTGCTGTTTTATCTTAATAACCTAAGTAGTCATAACTTAAGCTGTAATGACAAATTAAACTGTGGATTTTCAGACTTTAACAGAATGTCAATATACCATTACTTGGGTTTATTGGTTAGAAATGTTCCTCCAGAATACATGTTGATTAGAAATGTGACTGTTTGAGTGTGCTGCGCCTATTCCTCCTAATTCTAAAAGCTTATGTAAATGTAGTAATATGGAAATTATAATGAAAATAAAGATTAACTTAAGAATGCTGAAGAACTCAAGAATTCCTGTAATTGACAAAAACAAGTTATAATTACTGTTAAGAGAAAAATAGCTTTAGGTTTATCAGACTAACACCGCCTTAATATTATTCATAACACATAGCTTCACCTAATATTTTAAGTTGGCTGGTATAAAAAAACAAATCACTAAAGAATGTTACTCTTTGATAACGTATGAAATTACCGAATTTATTGTAATGACTTGGCATATTGTCATTGTCAGTTTGATGTATTTTTGAGACCTCAGGAGTATTGTATGTTAATATTCTTTTTCCAGACCGTTGGCTTTACAAAGACAGGCATACTTATTACAGCAATGCAAGTGCATTTGCACTTCTGCAAATGACATTACTCAGTAACCGTATTGTTCTTAGTGAACTGTTTTTGTTAGCTTCCTGTTGTGTCCAGTTTGAATTGGCTTTATGACGATGTAGGCAAGCCACTATGAGCAAATCCACCACACAAAGGTCAAATGCATTTGCCACATTCAAATATTTTCTGATTGAAGTGGACTGTTCCTCACTGAGCTGAAATAAATAGACACTTTGAAATCAATGCACCATGCAGAGATTTGTCTGTAATGGTTGGAGGGGATTTCAGACTCTGTGAGCATGTAATAGGGTGACTGCTACCATGCACGTCTGTGTGTGGTTGTGTGTGTACGTATCTGCCAAAGGGCTTTACTGATTATTATGTGACGCACATAGTTGTCAAATTTACCTATATGCTTGAGTGAAACTGTTTTGTTTCTTTTTGCTTTTCCTTTTTATATTCATATAAGAAAAAGTGCGTGTGTGTTTGTAAATGTGTGTGTGCGCGCGAGCGCGTGTGCTAGAAAGGAGCCAGTCCAGAATAAACACATTTTGGTCTCATATTTTAATATAAAATGCTGCTTTTTGTATTGAATAACTCAATACTCAGATTAGACCTACTGCTGTCCCATTGTCACACATGGCTCCACACCTGGCGCACACTTTTGCAGACAAACACAGATGCATAAATGGATGTATTGTGTTCAATTTACTTGAGAATGAATAATAGCTCTGTTCAGCGGTGTTTTGGTTGGTGAACAGAGTGTCCGGTTGTGCAAGGTTGACGATGGTTTTTCCATTTGCAACGTAGATCCTCTAACCTTCCTCCTCCTTACCGTCTTTAGGAAGTCTGGTAGACAAGGTCTTTTTTTTGTGCTACATTCATGTATGTTACTGTCCTTCTCAAACCTGAGTCAGACCTGTCTTATATTTGTCTTAGAAACATTGCGGACCAGCTGAAGCGGTGTCAGTGTGCTGGCCTTCCTTCCTCTGAAGTGCCAGAAACATTCCGAACCTGCCTCGCAGCACCGTTACCAGCACACAGAAGAGGTGAGGTTGTATTCTTTATGAAGAGTCCACTGAGAACTTGAATGAAGCTGTCGGACAGACAAATTTACCAATATCAAAGTGTCAGCACTTATTCGAGTAAGTTTAAGTTTTCCAAAGGAACAAAGAGATGTGAGAACGTGGGAGGAAAATAACAGACGAAAGACGATAGAGAGACGAGTAGCGAACGGGAGATGATGATTGCACGGAAAGAGGAATGGAGCTGTGTGGGCAACAAAATTAGACAAGCGGCCAAAAAAAGCTTTGAAAGGTTTATGTTGAGAGAATAAAAAGTTAAGAGAAATTGCAGACACTGCATTGTTTTCTTTACATAGAGAAGCAGAGCAAGAGAATAACCTGAGAAATGCGTAGATGTCTTTCTCCACAAACGTTCTGTTCTGCACTCTGGGGATAAAAGCATACCGGTGAATTAGCAATAAGGATACAAAAAGAAGAATCTGTGTGGTGTTTAGTTCTATAGTTTGCTGATCACAAGCAGCAGCACTCTCTTCAATAATCTAATTTTGCATATTGTGTTCTGTTTTTGCAATCAAATGAAAAGAATAAACTTGCTTATCCAAGGACATCAGATCTATATTTTTTCAGGTTTTTCGTTGCATATTTGAACAAGCATTAGAACAAGTAGGGAGAGCAAATAAAAGAGTTATACAAGGACAAAGAAAACTAATTAAACTGAATATTTTAGTTTAGTTTAATTCATCCGTGACTGTTTGTCTTTTTTTTCCTTTTTTCTTTTAGCTGTTGTAATTCCTGTCTTGGATCAGTTTCAGGACAAGGTCCTTGCTGTTTTACTGGTGAGTCCCTGCATTGGAGGATGTACAAAAGTGTTTTAAAGAAATTAATCAAACTAATAAATCATGTATGACTGATTATGTCATCATCCTCAACGTATCTTTGAGGTGGTATGGCAGCTTGGAAAGATTTCATTTGAGTTATCACACAAGTAAATCAACTCCACAGAGACAGCTGCCAGCCAAGCAAACACTGCGTCCTGCTCCATTTCCACTGAGTGCACTCATTTCTCTGTTTCGTAGGTTGGCTGTAGCCCACCGTCGGATCAAGAGGAACTGAATCTAAATGTGCTGGAGAAACATGTTAGTCCCTTTTCTCTGTTTTTCTTGATCAACTCTGAAAAAGAATACTTGGCAACAGTGTGGGCAGTGTTTTGCTTACCCAGCACATTTTGGCAGTTTGTGGCTGTTTCATAGAAGAATAGCACAGCATACGCAGTGGAAGCTGTTTAATGCAAACTAGTCCTGATAACATTTTTTGATGGTTTATTAGAAGCCTAACAGACACAAGTCCAAAGAAATAGTTCCTATTGTCTTTGTTGTATTTAGAAAATGCATAATAAAAAAAATCTTTATGAAGGTTTGGATAGAAGCCTGCTTATCACCATTCCTTATATAATTTGCCAGGTGATAATATTGATAATATTTTTTAAATGGAGTACGTGTCCATTTTAGCTTAAAATAATATTCACCTGCTCAACAATCTGTCTCTGATTCCCTGCTTCATAATGCTTTTTTTTTCAGTATGAGATAGATCTGCACTGCAGGCAGGAAAATCCAGCACACGCACTCTGTCTATGAAGCAATATTATTGTCGTTGTGCAGGATGGGGTATCCCATGGGAAAAAGCTTCACCTCTATTGTAGCGTGTTTCTCTATACTTTAAATATTTGTCTTAACATCACTGGTACCTTCACCTATGTGCACAAATGCAAGTAGCAAGTGCTGATGGATCCAATCGCCATCAAAGACACTGGTTTTTCCACCCTTTGCTGTCAAATAATTAGATGACCTGTCTAATCTGTGAGACATAAAATGTCTGTGTTTTTGCAGAAAAGAGGAACTTGAAAGTAATTTAATTCTGTAGCAACTGCCCCCTGTCTTTTTGTTCCCAGACAAGAGTGTTTGCTATGAGCAAAAACTTGTTCAGATTCAATGTGGCTGTATTGATCAAGGTTACAAGACAATTTCCCATCCAGTGCTTTTTGAGCATTCAAAGGTATCCATTGTGTTCTTGGTGTTATTGGCCATCACAGACTATAACTCCCCCACACTCAGCATTATGCACCGATGATGTTTAAATGACCAAATTCGTGATGAAATGAAATGACTTTAATAAATCAAACTTAAGCAAGAACTTTGAAAGAAAAAGTGCTAAAGACAAAATCACCTAAAGTGTCATACAAAAGTTTTAGTAACCTGCTTAAGGCTATTGTTTCTATCACAGTCATCGTATGGTAAGGCCATCGGATACAAATAAAATAAACTTCATGAAATCATATTCCATGTATTTAGTAATTAGTACTCACAAATTATTAAAAAAAACTTTAAGATGCTAAGATGACAAAGTATCACCATTCCACCTTTACCAAACAAAAAACTTAATTAAATCTTCAAATATAGCTCAAACTCATTTTAAAGTATACTTAACTCTGTTCTGGTAGATTATTATGCCATGATCTTGTCTTTTCAGATATCATTAATAATAAGAGTCTAAATAAATGGCTGGATATTTTTTAATCTTCTGCTTCTTGTTGCATTATTATTCTGCAAAACTGTGTTGTGACCACACACACACACACACACACACACTCTGGAACTAATCCTGAGCATGGCTGGTGGTTTTCAGGATGAAAAATAGTGAAACTATTTCAAACTGTGTTTATCCACAGTTTTATTTTCTAAATGTGCTGACTTTGGTGCTCTGCTTTGTGCGCTTGTTTGTGCGTATCTGCCTTTGTGCACAACATCGTAGGCGTCTGTGGCGTGTGTGCGAGTCTATGCGGTTCAGGCATCCTATCAGAGGCCGCCTCTCAGCCCTTCACCACTGCAGTCCCACAATGCTCTGCTGCACCTCAACGTCTCGGAGCAGGACTACTGCGAGCTGGACCGCAACATACTGCAGCTCTGTGGTATGTACATTCACACACATGCAGACCAACACGAACACAGTTTATAAAACATCCATTAACACTCTTTTCTTGAAACCATAAATTCCATTTGGCTTAGCTTTTGAATATAAACACAAAACTCATCCATAGTCACACACTGACAGGTGAGGTGTGTAAACAGAGGAAGTCGCTATGAAAGAAAAGCTCCCTGAATTTAGATGCAGAATGTCAGCGGGATAAGGAGTGTATGACAGTTACAATATGAAAACAGAATGCTTGGCTAAAACACTATTTGAAATCTTATGAATAATGGAAATGGACTCTGTCATGTCATCCCAGTGCATACATCAACACTGTTTACTCCCAGTTAATTGTCAAGAAAGATGAGTTGCCTTTGGTGTCCTCGGGTTTTCCCACCTCTATCTCACTTCGCTGCTTTTCAATCCACCTGTTTCCAATCGTATTCTTCTGCAGTCATTACAGCTCTCAGTCAGTTGTTTTTGTTACTAACCCCAGTGTTAACTTCCTCCCGTTTCCTCTTTCTCACCGTCTGAGTATATCCTCCCCGACTTGCTTTCTGTCCATTTGCTTACATGATATGCATTCACTGTCCTCCTTCGCACCAAACCTGCCCTTGGTCCTCTGCGTTTTCCCAGCTGTCACCTCTTCTCTCTCTTTGTCTCCCTCTCCTCTTTTAGGTGAGCTCTATGACCTTGATGCAGCCTCTCTGCAGCTCAAAGTCATCAATTATGTAAGTGGCTGAGATCACTCATACACTCCCTCACGCACCGTCACACACGCGCACACGCTGAGCTAAATACGCACAGTACATGCAAAACATCCATCCCCATGACCTCTACCCCTCTCCCTGTCGTAGTTTTTTATCATGCTCCTGTTTAATCAATCTTCTCATAGAGACTGCCTCATAATCACAGCGAGATCCTTGTGGACTCCTTGTGAAAGCAGTTGAAAAGGAGGAGAGGTCTAGATCCTTTCCAACTTGGACAGGGCTACAAAGCTGGTTTGAGGGAGCTCTCCTGTGAGAAAAAGCTAATTACATTCCAATATATGGAGTTATTCACAGATGAAGGAAATTTGAGAGAGAATGGGGTAAAGCCAGGGGGGAACCGGGGGGATTGGTAGGTTATTATGCATCAGAGGGACAACGCCTCATCCCATCAGAGCTCCAGAGAAGTCTAATGGATGAATGCACGCGATTCATACGCAGCTTCAACGTGAAGGACTTCTTTTGAATATTTCATTGCTGGTGATAAAATGGGAGGTCGAGTCCAAGTTTGCATGAACCTTAATAATCAAGATTTTAAGTTCAGGAGAGGAGACATCAATCATAAACAGAACAACTACATACAATTTACCAGCTGATTTAGCTCATTTAAGTTTTCAAACCTTGTTACTTTCCCTTTTGTTAACTAATGAGAAGCACACAAATAGATTTAAAAAGCTGAGTTTTTCATGAACAGAAATTGTTGTAAGGTCCATGAAGTTGTCAGGTCCAGCCACAGTTGGTTCCTATATAGTTTGATATGTACTTTATCTTTCACAGGATGTCAGATTAACTTTTATTCTATAAAAATATAGATATATATTTTGCTGTAGATCATGCTTAGGAGAATAAGGTGTTCTTAGTATCTTTTTTTTCAATTTTGTCCTCCCAAAAGAGAGCAAAACTGCTATTGTCACTAGAAAGATAAATAACTTCAGGGGCACAGTCTGTTTAACAATACATATATGAATTAGCTGTCATTTTCAGTTTAATTGCTTAAGTCAAGCTTACTTGACCCCCTCCTGCACCTGCGCCACCCTGGGACCAACTTAGTGGAACCAGAGTGTGCTGTGCTGTGGAGGCTCAGCCAGTATGTACTGTATCATCCCCCAATGCCTACTAAACCTCAATTTCAAATACAGAAATTACTCTTTGTGTGAGGTGAGAAAAATCAGGAACGCATCAGTTTTGAAAACAGTTTTGAATCATAGATAATATGTTTGATCTGAATATTGTTGTAAAAATTCTGTTGGGAGAGGGGGAGCAGGGGATTGTTGCTCCTTAAGAATCATCAGTTTGGAGATTAACACTATTTTTGAAAGATTGGGGGATGCAGGGGCTTATTATTGTATGTGTTTGGGGCAACAAGTGTGTGCATATTTGTGCTGTGTGCGTACGTAGATGTGTGAGGGTGGCTCGAGGGCGTGTGTTTTGGCAGGGGCTCCTGTTTATTCCTGTCCTGCTTGTTCTCCATCCAGATCAGTGGATTACGGCTAGAATGTAGCGCCTGAATGAATAGCTCTTGTAATTGTGTATGTGCATTGTGCACATGTTTATGATTGTGTACCCCCAGCTTTTGTGCCATTGTGCATACAGGTGTGTTGACAGTGTTTCATAGCCAGTGAATGTGAGTGGAACGTTTCTCATCCCACACAGCCGCAGGAAGCGGGTTGAAACTCTGGAGCTCTTACAGCTCAGTAGCATCAGGAAGGCTGAGAGCACGATCGGATCTTCTTTCATCAAACTGGGATGCAAAGCGTGACCTTTTGAGTTTTATGCCGTAAGATAGAATGGAAGACCTTGATCTTTAGTTGAGATCACAGCATTTTCATACATTTGATTATATGTTCATTCATTTCCACTGTGTTTATGAGACGAAAACATATTAAAAAACACATAAGCCACGCATTTAGAGAAAGATCTCCGTTATGGTAATCTTTCGGAAATGTGTGGTCACGCATATGTATTTTTTGGAAAGTTACTTTTTGTCAGGATATGTTTTGGGCAATTCTTGGCAAGCTTAACCTAATTTTGCAAACAGTTCGCTCAGTTTTACTCTGTTGTATTGTTTAACATTTTTTGTCTTTATTATAGAAAGGGTCAGTATGATTTAATTTACAATTCAGTTGTGATGTGACAGAAACACTACATTCAGACTATGCCCAAGCTACATTCATTTTCGTGGCTTACTGGTTTCTAATAGTATGTTTTCTTCAAACAATCCATTTAAAATAGTTCTTTTAAAAACCCTGAATGAATATATCAAAAGGAATATTTTGTGATTGTCTGTCCGGTCTGACGTTGTGTTTGTGTTCCTCTGCAGCTGCAGCAGCAGACGCAGTCACAGTGCTGTTGTTTGCTACTGGTATCTGAGGATAACCACCAGCTATTTTGCCAGGTACACACACACATGCACATTACCCCCCCCTCCATCTTTATCACTCCCGTACACATTTGTTCTTATTATCTGCTTTGAAATACCACACAAATACGATGCACCAGTTTTTCACACACAAAGCTTCCCTTCATCTTTCTCAACTCCAACCCAGTCACACACACACACAGACACACTTAGCCTTCTACCATCTTTGCACTGACTCACTCACGAAAGAATAAATTCAGCATTAACATTTGAGTAATTTGAGATGTTTAACCTCTGTGATATTTAGGTGGTTGGAGACAAAGTCCTGGAGGAGGAGATCAGCTTCCCGGTAAGCGCCCACACCCCTCCCACACACACACACACACACACAAACACACACATAAAGAATTGTATATTTCAATCATTTATTTACCACTTTCAATATGTAGTTATTCATAACACCCCACCCTTCTAATGGTTTAGTAAATAAAGAAATCCAGGGACATTTGTTATCATTTATGGTTGGCTTACTTTTAATGTAAGTATTATAACCTTTCATGTTTTTGAACTGCCAAGAAAGAATAAAGCTCCCACACATGAATGTCTCTAATCTTCTGTAGGGATTGTAATTAAGAAATTTAAGCAGGAGAAGTAATTGCTTCCTTTGACTCTCTCCAACTCTCGTGTCCATGCCTCTGATGCATTTTTAACAGACTCTTCATTATGGTGTGAATAGACTGCGTCCCCTTGGCTAAATGATGTGTGAAATCTTGATAATAGTAGGTGTGGAGAGATTCGAAGCCACGCAAAACGCATTGCATGGACTATTTGCGCTGTTAATAAGCAAGGAAATAAGTTGCATTCTGAAAGAGAAACCTTTATTTATTTATTTATTTATTTATTTATTTATTTATTTGTTTATTTAATATTTGTTTCATTCTAATAGGAATGTCCTTCAAGTCTTTTGTAATCATTATTCACTTTGCTTAGTGTGTCTTTATCTGTGTCTCTGCCCCTCAACCCAGCTGATGTTTGGACGATTCGGCCAAGTTGTAGAAAAGAAGAAGTCAATCTCTCTTCAAGACATCAGTGCTGTAAGATTGTCAATCCATCCATCCATCCATCCATTTGTCCATCCGTCCATTGTGTTTATCTATCTCCTGTCTTCATGCCTCTCCCTCTGTCAGGAGGAGCGCAGGCAGCTGTCCAGTATGTTGGGTTGTGAGATCTCCTCCATGCTCTGTGTCCCTGTGGCGAGCAGGGCCACGGGTCATGTGGTGGCACTAGCCTGTGCCTTCAACAAGCAGGGTGGGCAGAGGTATGTCTGTTTTGCCTTTTCTTCGAAAAATAAATGTCTTGCAAAGTAGTGCTCTTACACTAAAGAGAGACCCGTGCTGTAATCCTGTTTTTAACCTCACAGCTGTTTAGAATTTACTCTGACTTCCTTATCGGTGGCTTAAGGTTAAATACATATAAAACCCATGGTTGTCAATCTGAAGGAGATTTGTCTTTTCATACTTTGCCAAGTGCTGACTGGCGGCAAATACGAAGATTTATGTGACAGCGGCTTACAGTGGAATTGGGATGGGGCCTGACTAGATGAGCCAAGCAGCTCAGATTTGTTGAGGTACAGCGGTGGAGACACTGAAATTTAGAGCTTAATGGCTGCAGGCTGTTCATGAAAAGATACTGAAAAGGACTAAGACCCAGCAGCAGCCCAGGACCAGATGCATAAAAACTTATAGTCTCATGACTAAAACTCTGTCTAGCCACAAAGGCACTCTTTCTCACAAAGTCACGTGTACTTTTATAAATCTCAGTCATCATGATATTGGACTCAATTACTCAGTCCTGACACCATTTTTTATTGTTTCTAGTGTTGAATAGATACAGACACTGCCCTACTTAGTCTTTGTGCATTAAGCAACCAGTTTGAATGCACCTTGTTCAAACACACATGACAATGAAAGCAACAGAAAAGGAGGAAGAAGAAGCTCACTTTTACTAAATGTTCATCTGAAATTATGATGAACTGATTAAAACCATCTGGATGATTCTTTTTTTAAGAAAATAACATTGATAATTGTATATGTTTAGAGCAAATTATCACCTAGAGGTAAAAACCAAATAGTTGTATTACAGATGAGTCCTTTAAGCACAGTCTCAGTTCACATGGGACAACACCAGGGCTATGGGGAAAGAAACCAACAGCTCCTGCTTTACTTGCAAAAGATAGATGTATGGACTGTACATCCCTGGATATTGGATCTTTCCAAATTGCCTGCAGATGATCAGGAGAAAGACCCAGATACAATAATAGAGCATTGTATGTTGGCTATTAACTTTAACAGCCCCAGTGCACAAGCCCGCTATTACATTTTACAAGAGAATCAAAGGTTGCAGAACAACAATCGAGGTAGAGTAAATAATAAGAAATATCACTGAGTATCAACATCATAAAAAATCTGTTATTCTTTTGAAACGATTGAAGTTGTTTTATTTTAAATGTTGTCACCGTTTTACCTTTTCATAGTTCTGTAGACAATGTATGCACATGGTCTAAACAACAAACCTGATGTATAAATACCACATTGTGTATAAGAAACATACGCATATATATGCACCTCTTTTGGGGATTTTGAGCCAAAGCTGCATACAAATGTTATTCAGGCCATAGCTTGGTAGATATTATATGGTTTTGTATATGGTTTTTGTCAAAAAAGGCTCAATACACTGTTCATTTGCCTGAATAAACCAGTCAATACACATTAAACGAAATTTAAGTATGTGATCAAAGTGGGAAGAACTATGACAGTTTCCTAACGAATGGCTTTAAGGTATGATTATATATGCCAAATGATTTAGTGATTTAAGGTTAAAGGAATGCCAGGAGGCTTTCAGCTCAATGATAACAATGACAGATTCATCACAAATGCATGATACCATATAAAGGCATGAATGGAGTATAAATGCAAGATGGTTACAGTATTTCACTTATTTCTTTAGATAACACCTAGAATTAAGACTGCTACATGAGTAAAAATCTGCTGAAAAAAAGCATAAATCTGTAAGCATTTACAACTGACACTGATGGATAGATGGTTCAACTGTTTAAATTACTTGGAGGATAGAAAAATGTTGAATTAGGCAAAATAATTCAAGCATAAACTGTTTATGAAGTTGACTGTCTTTAGGGGCAGCACACAACTATACAATTAAAGGAAACTATGCTCCATACATATATCAGTCACAAGCTGTTTGTGATTTAATTACTCACAACTAATCAAAAGAGCACTGTTCTTTGATTTTCCTTTAGACTTCAAGTCTCTAGTGAAAATTACTTTTGAAATGTCTTCATATTTTTGTTAAGTGATCACTTCTCATAGTTGTTCTGTCTACATTCCCCTCTTTATACCAGAGCTCAGATCCAGTTTCTGAGTACCTTGGCATCTCCATCAGAATCTGCTCCCATTTGTGAGGTTTTTCACCAGATCCCCGAAAATCCAGAAAATCCAGCTGCCAGAAAAATAGTCTTACAAAAACACACTTCTACCAGACTTTCATTTGAAACCGCGGAAAATTCTACCAACCCACCAGGTTGCTGATAGGACTCCATCAAAAGTAGTTATCTGGAGCCCTATTTCACCACACGAGCCGAGATTTTTCTCTCATTACAGTTCAGAGGGGGCAATGTTACACTGAACAAAATTCAAAGAAAACTATGTAGGCTGTTGGTCCAGTCTGTCTATTTGAAAGCTGTGCAATTTCCACTAACCGTCGGGACTTTGACAGATTATCAGACTAAAAGGACACCACAGCACACTTCAAGCTCATGTCCGATCACCCCCCTCTTTGTGTCTCTGGGCAAAAAGTGTTGTTAGCGACCAGATGGCTGTAATGATGATGGCGGTGTGATGATCTAGAGTCAGGTCATGAGTCTAACAGCAGTGGGTGACTTGGCTGCCTGGTTTGGCACCATATTTTGGCATTTATATGTGTGTGCATGCGTGCGTGCGTGCGTGCGTGCGTGCGTGTGTGCGTGCGTATAACACGTGTAACACACACATGCATGCAGTCAAATGAGAAACATGAGAGTGGTTCATGTCCACTAATTTCTCCCGCTGCCTCTGGCTCTCCTGACAGAGCTGGCATCTCATTTCCATAGTAACAGCAGCAGAATTATGATCACAACCGTTCACATAATGTGATAAGCCAAGTCGTGGCCCCGAGCACACTCAAAGAGATTCTAAACTAATCATCCCTTCATCCTATGTATTACATATTCATATATAGAGTTTGCAAGATAGCAGGTTCATGAGAGCAACGTCTGGCACTAGTTAAGAGTTCAGAACTTAGTTTTGGTGGAAGCGCATTTAAGAAAGATTGGCACAAACTAAAATATTATAACGAAGACCAGAAAGTCGTATTTGCAGATAGAGGTTCAAAAGAAAAGCAAGGCCTTTAACTTCTTTTTCTGTTGTTAAGGCATTCAGTAATTTTTTTAATCTGTATTTTATGTTTTTTTTTACTGTTTATATCTAGGTTCCCATCTCTAGAACTGCATCCCCATTTGCTGCTTATTCTGCCTGTGGAGATGAATTGTATTTTTTGTCATTAGCTGACGCAGAAAAATAATTCTCTAGCCTCTCCGTTGTTCTGTGCAACTCTCCAAAGTGTCAGTCATACAGATTTCCAAGATACATCGCATTTGCAGGCTCTTGTCGACTTTGTCAGGATTCCTGTGAGCCTAAGCTGGGAGGCGGGAGAACCCTGGAGCCTGTTCAAGGCTCCTGACGTCAACACAATAACATGCCACTGCTCTCTGTAGGCAGAGACAGTTAACTGCAGGCAACAATTCCCCTTTACTAAGAACACCGCTTTACCTTTTTAATGCTGTCGAACATTTTGAAGGGCACAGCAGCACAAACGCGCTGCAGGAGACAAGCCCTGAGTTCAGTTCCTGCCGTCATGTTACCAATGCCTTAATGATCGCGCTCGTTTTTTTTGTGTCTGTTTTAGCTTATAGTAAGATATCTTAGTCATCTTTTTAATGCAATCCTAGGGGACAGTGTGAATTGACACCAGCCTTTTTTAGGCTTATTTCCAGACCTGAGGCAACGGTTGGTTTTCTGCCCAGAACAGCTTTAATTTGCTTTAGTTGATCAAATCACACACCAACATGAACATGAGTATATGTTTTCACCATAATTAGTCTTTTTTTAATATGTTTCTGCTATTACAAATTAAGTAAAGTTACTTAAGTAAAGTTACTAAATAAAGAATAAACACCTGCAAACAGAGAGACAGGCAGGTACAGAATTAGCTTCATCGTTGCTATTTGACATTAATAACTAATTGGCTCTGTTGTTTTGTTTGTGAAGGTGCTGATCTGGGATTCAAATTAATTATGTATCATTATGATCATGATCACCTCTCCCTTTACTCTGTGTAGGTTGTTAATTAAAGGAGAGTGAAGTTGTGATTGACTCATGTAGTAAAATAAATTAAATATATTTATACAATATAAACATTTAGTCTAGTGTCCAATATAATGACCAATAGGATATACACAGCTGGGTTGTAATTTTGTAAAGGTATTGCAGCCTCTTCTAAATAATTTTAAGAAGTTGAAAGTTATATCCTCTTCATTATCATTCTGACTTTACAGATAACTGCATTGTTCTACATCAGACAAACATTAAGATAATAGCTCAAGTAAATATTGTTGGGGATATTTTAAACGTCAAGAGAGAGGTATGGGTAAGAGTTAGAATAGGAGTTCAATTCACACTTGAGTCGCATTCAAGTCCTCCAAAAAAGTGATTAAAGTATGCAAATTGTATTATAGATGGACTGTTTTCATCCTTTAATGAGTGTGTTGTTGCGTCACCATTTGTAAGCATAGTAAATGAAAACAGGCTATCTTATTAGGTTCTGTAATATTACAGTAGACCAACAATCATGGCCCCCGATGTAGTCAGCATTTTAAAAATGCTATAAAACTTTACTTAACTGTGTTATCCAGACACCACAATTGAAAAAGGAGCCTTGTCAAAATTGTTAGACTAAACAAATTTCAGAAATATGTATTGCAAATTTCCTTGGCCCGGATGATTTAGGTGTATGCTCAGATCTGATGATGTGTTTTCCTCTGCAGACACACGGAGGCAGATGAGCATGCCATCCAGCACTGCTTCTGCTACACTTCGACCGTCCTCACTTCAACTTTAGCCTTCCAAAAAGAACAAAAACTCAAAGTGGAGTGCCAGGTACAGCAGGCGCTCACACATTCACTCTCCATGTAACGTGTGCCACATGTATAAATAAATACACACAAAGATGCCTTACAAGTAGTTTTTGTGTCGATGGTTTCTCCACATAGGCGCTCCTACAAGTGGCCAAGAATCTCTTCACACACCTGGGTAAGTCTTTTCTCCTTTGTCTGTGTGAAGAATGGACACTGTCAGAATATCTGCATTAATGACAGACATTTAACTGGTCTCCTTTTGAAAATAAATGGCGCATGTAATGAAATGAACTATTGCCGACCATAAAGGTGATTACACCCAGAATCCTAATCATAAAATTTAAAGGCTATTAAAATTGATGGCACCGCCATATCATATTATCGCACGGGGACATTTCCATTCTTATCTAACAGGGCACACCAACAGTAGAATATGTCATTATAGATTTATCGGGATTACAGATTGAAAAAGAATCAATCCGGTGGTAAAACAAATTGCTACTATCTGCACTGATCCATTGATTGCAAAGCTCTTATCAGCATATGCAGCTGATCCATGGATACTACTGTTTGAATCTCTTCCTAATTTCCCTCTTTCCATTTCCCTCCCCCGATTTTTTTTTTCAGATGATGTGTCAGTGCTGTTACAGGAAATTATTGTGGAGGCCAGGAACCTTAGTGATGCAGAGATGTAAGCCCTCAATATGTACTAATGAACTTATTTTGTTGTTCGGAAAGGGTGTTTTTCTTTATAGACACCAGGAATGGCTCCATCCCCATTTGAAATGGGCTGCTTTGTCAATTTGTTCTTAACAGACTCACCAGATTTAATAAAAGCTGTAAAATGACCTAAGAAGGAACGACATAAGAACCATGTAATGCTTTTAGCCTCACGGCCCCTCTGACTTTGTCACTCTCTATTCCTCTAGTTGTTCAGTGTTCCTCCTGGACCGACTCAGTCATGAGTTAGTAGCCAAGGTCTTTGATGGTGGCGTGGTTAGTGATGAAGAGGTACAGCACACATTTATGACTTATAAATCTGTAAAGAAACGTGAAAACTTAACATAAATCTCTGATCTCCTGGTGAGGAGATACAATGGCTCTTTGTTTATGTGTTTCCAAGAAAATTGAAGTTGACACTTACAGTTGTGTGTGGATGTCTGTTTGTGAGTGCAGAAGGAGTTCCGCATCCCAGCAGATCAGGGCATTGCAGGCCATGTTGCAACCACTGGTCAGATTTTAAACATTAAGGACGCCTACTCCCATCCTCTCTTCTACCGCGGCGTGGATGACAGCACTGGCTTCAGGACTCGCAATATCCTCTGCTTCCCCATTAAAGATGAGAACAATGGTAACAAGAGGGAAACACATTTAGTCTTTTATCCTTTCAGATCTAAAGGGGCAAAAATAGCCACGTTATAAAAAAAAATTGCATTATTTTAGTAATACACCCTAAATAAAAACAGCTAGATGTAAAATGCTTAAAATCTTAGTTTGCCCAAAGGATAAACATTTTTAAAATGTAGGCCGCTTTGAACATCTTTCCAGGTTGTATCTACACAGTGAGCAGAACTGGCATTATGAAGTTTACTACAAGCAGCTGTAACATGATCATTTAAGCACGCTTAATCCAGATACGCTGAAACAGCCAAGTAAGGAAGGTGGTTTACAAAATAGCAGTGAAAAATAAATAAAACTGAGTGTTTAACACCACTGGGATAGGCTCCAGTTCTCCCCGAAACCCCATCAGGGAATAAGCGGTAATGATAATGAATGGATGGATGGATGTTTAACACTTTTTAAAGAGAGTGAGGGCTGCTCATAGATAAAATAAATCTCAGATGAAGAGCATTAACTGTCATAACAAATTTTCACACACAGAAAAAGCAGAGTCGTCTGTAAGCAGACCAGTGTTTTAGTTGAAATTTTAGAAATCACCATTTATCAACACATGGTTTCGCTTTTACAGCAAGATGGTGTGAATTTGAATCAGAGTGGTGACCGCAAATCCCTGCACCTAAATGTTTAAGTGCCTCAAGTGCACTGAAAATTCTCTTGTTTCAGACTGTTCAGAAACCTCTGTTTCATGCACACAGTGCTGCCCAAACAAGCTGAGTCTGTGTTGAGGAACTTTACAGAATTGCGATTTGTCTCGATGCGGAAATTTTCTCTAAAGCTTAAATGAACACTTAATTTTCTGTTTTATTCTGCAATTAAGATCAACCACACTGTGAAATAAAAGATCTTAATGACTCATTATCTGTTCTGCACCTTTAACTGTCGGATTCTGTGCTCCATTTTCTTCATCCCCTACATTTCCCATTTTTTATGGCATCCATTTTTCCCCCCTCATCTCCGGAAATTATAACCTCTTTCAAAACGTTGCTCTCTTCTTTCACATCTCTCCTCGTCTTTGACACGTGTGTCCTGTAGAGGTGATTGGCGTAGCTGAGTTGGTGAACAAAATGAATGGGCCGTGGTTCAACCGCTTTGATGAGGATTTGGCCACAGCTTTCTCCATCTACTGTGGCATCAGCATTGCCCACGTAAGTCTCTCCTCCCACTCTCTGTAACCTTTGAATTTTATTCTCCTCTTTTTTAATATCCTCCATGTTTTAATGGCACTGGACACAAGACAAACAGTTTAAAACACATCTATGTTAAAAAAAACAACACTAATTTAACTAATCTTGATTTTAGACATGAAATATAAACAATAATAATCTACCTGTTTCCCTTTCTAAACATCCTTCTTCAGAGACAATTCATTCTCACAAGTTAATGTACTTTTTCTTTTATCAACTCCCATATGTGCCTCTGAGCTTTGATTCACCTGTGTGCCGGGAAAGTAAGAGAAACATTTACAGATCCTCCCTCATTAGGACTCTCTTCATCTGTTGCTAATGCAGTCGGAAAGATTGAGCCTGCTGGTGAAATGAGAACCATTCAGTGAGAGTAAAATGCTCAGTCAAAGCAGAGTATAGCAAAGTCTCATGGGAAATTTTAAGAGTTTCAGTCTAATGGAACAAACTGGGTGGTGCTGCTCTGTTTGAATGTATTGTGCAACTGTTGCAGTCTGATCGCTCCACATTCAGCAAAACTGCAGTAAGTGGCTCACAACGAAACTTGTAAAGATGCTGATGTTGAAAAACAGAAAGCCTGCTTTGTTTTGCTGTAATGTCTTAATTTACATTGCTGGTTTTTGCTGACATTGATTGAATAGATAGATATACTTTATTTATCCCAATCTGGGAAATTGCATAGAGGTTGCTAAGCAAACTCCCCTTTAAAAAAAAGATTTGTATTACTTAATCTTTGGACTACCTTCTTTCTTCTTTGGAAGAAAGGAAAGTAGAAAAAGCAGGAAGACAGAATGACAGAACACAGTGGAGGTAGAAAGACAGTGGCAAAAAAGAAAAAAATTAAATGATAAGAAATAGGACTGAAAGATGTTTCAAAAAGTGTGGAAAAAGAAGTTAATGGTTTAAAGTATAAGAGCGAATGAAATAAGGAAAAGTGAAGACAGATTGAAAGAACCAAAGAAAATATTAATGGAAGGTGACGCAAACGTGGTGAGTAAGAAGGAAGAGAAAAGGCACTGGAGCTATTTTAACAGCAGCTGCAGTACAGCTTTTTATCCAACGTTTCCCATTCATCCTCATATAAAGCTGTACTTGTAGAGTCTGACCTTTGAATGACTGTGGGTATTCAATAGTGTATCTACAAACTATAAAGAACTGTGATAGGAAAAATAATTGCCTTAAAGGAAGCTCATTAATCATTTAAACACCACCAAATCCATTATTCATCGATATTCGTGTTGTTTCCCTGTTTACAGTATTGTGTTTGTATGGTACAAAGCATCTTAACAGCAGTCAATGAAGTTTTACTACTTTGCGAACCACACAAATCAACTTAAAAATGCAAAAATGCATTCAGGCTCATTGTAGAATGCTAAAGAAAATATGAAGTTAGTAATAAAAAGGTTAAAAAACATCAAATAGTTTATTTCTGTGGAATTATCTTTGCAAGTGTTTTTTGAAAAATGAAGCGATGCTTTAATATTGCATTTGTCTGTTTGTCCGTTTGTCTCTGTAGTCTCTGCTTTACAAGAAAGTCGGCGAAGCACAGTTCAGGTCCCATCTGGCCAATGAAATGATGATGTACCATATGAAGGTATATTCAGATCTATCGGAGAGCCGTGGTATTTCCTGACACAGACAGCGTCATTCACCCCATATGATTCAGCATGCATCTGCTTCAGGTTTCAGAGGAAGAGGTGTCTAAGCTCCTGGTAACTGGGATCGATCCGGTGATGGAGGTTCACCCGTGCTTCGCTGAGTTCACATACACGCCACGCTCCCTGCCTGATGACACCACACCCATGGTGAGGAAAGGAGGGGAGGGAAGGAGTGCTGAATAACAAAAGCAGCAAAACAGAACGAGAAATTGACTCCATGAATTAACTCTGCTCCTGTCCTGTGTATCCGCAGTGCGTCCTCAGCATGTTCGAAGACATGGGCTTCATCAACACGTACAAGATTGACATGCACACTCTTGCCAGGTCTGACAGCTCCATCAATCCATATTGTGAATACCAGAGAGCTATTCGCTATACACACATCATAAAGTTTATTTCTACCTGCTGGTTTAGATTTACAGGTTGATATTTTATTCATTTTCTACTCAAATTATTGGCTGTGTTGCAGTGCTGCATTTTTTATTTTTGAAAATGTTTAAGATCTAATACGCTCTGTCTGTCAGTTTTTCCGGTGAGACAGAAAATCATTATACTGTTGGAGGAGAAATGCAATGATGACCAAGAAGCTAAACTAAGGGTGAAATTGTTAGAATATACCGTGGCAGGCAGATTGTTTGTGATGGCACATGGCTGTTACTCTAGTATCAGCACTGTAGGGAAGTTATAGCGTGCCTTTTCAGCCATTGTCTTTCTGCACTTCAACTTGAAGGAAGTCAGTTCAAAATTAAACTACCTGCTGGGGGGAAAAAGTGCATGAAAGATATGGCAGTCTTAAAGTGCATATCAATCTGTCACTTACAACAAGGTGAGATGTAGGCCATAATTAAACTGCTGCCTTTGGGACAGGTTCTGCCTGATGGTGAAAAAAGGCTACAGGGACCCTCCCTACCACAACTGGATGCATGCCTTCTCTGTCTCACACTTCTGCTACCTGCTCTATAAAAACCTAAAGCTGTCCAACTACCTCGAGTAAGTATCTTCTTCGAATCTGAAAAAAGGTATTTTTGTCTTACTGATCGTAAAACTATTTGATTTCTTGCCCCCATTTTTTCTTAGGGACATAGAGATTTTAGCTCTTTTTGTCTCCTGTATGTGCCATGACCTGGATCATCGAGGCACAAACAATTCTTTCCAAGTGGCCTCGGTAAGAGCATTTATCATTCTTTATTAAAAAGGTTTTTCTTTAACGTAATAAATGCCAAGACGAAATAAACTTTGAATAATATAGCATTTGTCTTGTTAGATTCCTTGATTTTATCTTTTCATCTGTGAATGTGCTCCAGTGAGACTTAGATTTTAGATTTTATTTTCTTGTACACGCATCTTGCTCTGGCATACACTAACTATGCATTACTCATGCAGAAAAAAAGCCATTCTTTAAAAAACTAATATCATTATCTATCTCTATTTGAATTATTCTAAAAGGGGAAAGCAATGCTTTTGTTTATGGGTTCTGTTTGTGCTTGGTTTTCAGCAATCAGTACTGGCTGCTCTCTACAGCTCAGAGGGATCTGTGATGGAGGTAAACTCAGGCGAATGGCAGCTGTCTGTGTAAATCTTCACCGTCTTTTTAGGTGGAGTTTTGTCATTGGTTTCCTTGGTTACCATTCCTCACAATTGGTAAACTGCTCTGTCCGCAAGCTCCCAATACTGCGTTCTGCTCTGACATCTAGTGGTCAAAATCAAACTTGTCAATTGGTTTGCAGGCACAAATCATTTGAATTGCTGATGCTTTTTACAAGGTGGCGCGACTCAATATTACTTTATATAAGAGTATATTCAAATTTCCCCTTTTTTTCCCAATATGCTCTGCTTGCTTTACCAGAGACATCACTTTGCCCAGGCTATTGCTATTTTAAACACTCATGGCTGCAACATATTTGAGAAGTTTTCCAGAAAGGTAAGCTATGGATATTTGTGTTTGGATGTAATGGATGTAATGAATGCAATGTGTTCAAGCTTAAGATGTTTGTTTTGCATTCTTTTCAGGACTACCAGCGGATGTTGGATTTGATGAGAGACATAATTCTAGCCACTGACCTAGCACATCACCTTCGCATTTTCAAGGACTTGCAGAAGATGGCTGATGGTACGTCTCAGTGGATCAGTATGCACAGCCGCACCTCGAGAGCTGCTGTAGTCATGGCCGAATAGCCAGGGGAGGCTCAGATCAAATGGCTCCACAAACCAACAATTTACATTCCCCTTCAATAAAAAATGGCCTGAAATTTCATGAGGAAACATGCCACATAAATCATATTTTAAGCACAGTCCATAGGAATTAAATAGATATCATATTGGTAATTTTGTTTCAAGTGTGCATTGCTTCATATATATTTAAAATATTCCCCTTAGAGATAGAGGTTGCTAATTTTTTTGATTAAGTTTTTCAGTAATTAACAACATTTTCAAGGATCTGAAGTCATGGGGAGACATCTGCTTGCATGGCCATTTTTTCATACACCTGAATGCAACCAACTAAAAGTTTCCCTGGGTAGATGTCTCCGCAACGTAGTAATTTCTGACCTGTAAAAGAAAATTAATAGACATTAAGGATCTCTGAATAAGTTACCTACTTCCTCAGACCACACCTCTAAGTTGTCAATCAAGGACTAAAATAGCATCATCAAATGCAGAATTAATGCATACTGTACTGTGCCATGGTGTCACGCGAACATCATTTTCCCCTACCACTCATACAAACTTGAAACAGTTTTATTTTTTTCATTCATATGTCAGCATCTGCCAGCATCTAGTAGCTTCTCATTTTCAGATTATAATGAATTTCTGAAAGATAAATAAGTTAGTAAATGGTCTTTTGAAAGTGTCAATTTGTAAGTTTACTACTGTTTTGACGTAGATATTTGCCTTTTCAGATGCATTGGCTTCGTTGTTAAGTGCTATTTACAATGAGGGATGTGCTAATGTGTTTCAGATGGATACAATCCAAAACGCCGGGCACACCATTCTTTGCTGCTTTGCTTGTTGATGACCTCGTGTGACCTGTCAGACCAAACAAAGGGCTGGAAAACCACACGGAAGATTGCTGTCAGTATACATGATATTTAGTTTTATTTACTGTTGGATGGTCTATGTTGTCATTCTGAAAATCATGTGTTGCATGCTAAGACCTTTTTTTTAGATTATTGGTCCTAGTAGTTTATTTTGAATAGTATAACAGGTTGGTGAGTGCACTGTTTGTTGTTTGTAGGTTGAACCAACCTTTGAGCTCTTTTCTATCTTATTCTCCACTGTGAGAGCCTCTACTATTTTAGGATTACATTTAATCTTGGCCTCCCCCCTTTTCAATACTAAAACCCATAAACCTTGCCCCAAATTCTGCCCTCAATCTCCGAGCACCTAACACCCAAAACCAACACACTGTAATCCTTGTTCCCAAAACCTAAAACACATTTCTCCTTAATTCAGTAGAGTACAGTGTTCAACAATATCTGGCTTTTTTTTCATCTGTGGACTTTTTCAAATGTAATAAAACGGGAACAGCAGTGATGGAGTGTAGTAGAAAAAGTCTGACAAAACTAAAACTCTACACTGTGCTTTAGGGTTAGATATAAAAACTAATCACAGGCATTTATTGGGTAATATTATTTGTTAAAATGATAATGATAATAATAATTTGTTCAAACAAATAGAATTACCAATTTAAATAGACTTTGTCTAAAGCTGGGATAAGCTCCAGCCCCCCTTGTCCCCACTGGGGATAAGCGGTATAGATAATAGATTAATGGATGTTTTGTCTTAAAGAGGTGCAACCAAACCATCAAATCTGTGTCATCATCACCATGAATATAAAACGATGTGAGTAGTAAAATATGTCTGTTTTTCCACAGGAGCTGATTTACAAGGAATTTTTCTCTCAAGGAGATCTGGTATGTGTCAGTGTGCACTGCGCTCTAAATGTTTTTTTTGTGTGTGGCTGCATGTGTGGTGTTGTTTTACACATTGCTGTGAGCATTACTCTATGTGCAGGAAAAAGCCATGGGGAACAGGCCCAGTGAGATGATGGACAGAGAAAAAGCATACATCCCAGAACTACAAATCAGCTTCATGGAACACATTGCCATGCCCATTTACAAGTATGTCCAAAAGGCAAAGTTTTCCATTCTCACTGATACCGATTGTAGCTACTTTCCAATTTTTATGACCAGCTCTGCACTCAGCAAAGATATCGTGTTTTGAATGTAGCAGTTACTAGGGAAAAAAATCCAAAATAGTTTATTCCATTTCATTTATCTCAAAAATGCATCTTTACTGTTATCATCTTTCAGCAAAATGGGACTGTTTGCACTCTCAGACATTGTTCCCTGCAGTGACTAGCTGGCAAAAATGCAAGAGCTTTTAGCAGTTAAATCACATATTTCCCTCAGGAGATCTACAAAAGGAAAACAGATCAAATTAGTGTGAACCCTGACTTTCCATTCATTAGATGGACACAAACACAACACCAACTGAATGCTAAAGTTGTTGTATGTATAAACAAGTATTTGCTGAAAGATTTACAATTTTAGCCTTGTAAAGTTATGATGTATTCTGTTTTCCACTCCCAGGTGGAAAAATTTAAGAAAAAAGCGGATTTAAAAAAAAAAGCATAATATAAGATTTGAATGTAAATATGTTTAGTAATTCAACTTAATACTGCTTTATCACACATCTTTATAACTATAAAAAAAATATCCAGTAAGGAATGATAAAGAATCTTTAATGTAAGCTTCAAAGCACACTATTTGACACAAATGAATGCTGCTCCTCCTCTCCCCTCTCAGGCTGCTGTCTGAACTGTTTCCCGGGGCCACTGAGCTGTACGAGAGAGTGGCGGCAAATCGTGAGCAGTGGACCAAAGTGTCCCACAAGTTCACCATCCGTGGGTTGCCTAGCAACAACAGTCTGGACTTCCTGGACCAGGAATATGAGCTGCTTCAGTCCCAGGGTGCTTTCGGGAGCGATGACCACTGCCTCAACGGTTGCCTTGATGACACAGACGGGGGGAGGGGCCAGTGACGACATGTTGCACCAAGGAGAGGCCGAGGATACCTTTCATTTGCAGTCAAAAAAGGGGACATTTATGTGCTGTCAAACCCATCAGTTACTTGGCAGACCGTGCAGAGCGGAAAGGACTACATTAAATAGAAGTGACTGCTGATCAGAAACAAGAGGAGTCATCCGAGTCGGACCACCGATTACATGCTATATGTTGTCTGTGTCAACAAGCTGAGGGAAGCAAAGGATGATTTCTTTAACTTTTTCACTGGAAAAATAGGTTTTTACCACTAGTCGTAAGTTGAAACATACATGAATGAGAGATCCTTACTGAGATTATAAAAATCTACACACATATGTACATTAATATACCACTAAAAAAAAACACAAGTTGGAAAAAAAAGTACTGTGTTAAAGCAGAAACTGCTTCAACATGTGACAGTGACACGAAGTGCTACACATTTAGTAAAATGTTTCATAGCAGCTTATATTGATTTCAATGGCTCAGCAAACACACCTAGCATCCTTCTCAAGTGATACATACGAATGATTGATGGATGACATCTCATATGTTATTCTTTTTATCTTACTCACTGTTCATTTTCCCCATGTGGTCTGTTTTCAAATCATCGTAATTATGTTCTCTGTTCTTCAGGGTATATTTAATTTATTCTTAACCATGAACTTTGAGTGGAATTTGACTTTTCCTCACATTCTAAGGCAACATTAAAACCTTATTTATTGGTTCTTTTTCCCTTGTTGTTTCATTGGATTTAAGAACACTTTGACAATCACCCATCCCTGCCTCCTCCACATTAAAAACAAACTATCTGCACATATTGATTGCACGTGACTATGTCAAGTGTTCACCTCATTTACACCTCTTCAGTTTACCATGCAACTGTATTTGTTACATTTCTTTTAGTTAACTTCCTTTCTCAACCCATTGCAGATAGAATAACAGAAGCCCTTTAAAAGATCCATCTCATTCGTTAGTGTAAATGTGCTATAGTGGGGTGAGTTAAGTGAGTGTCACTGAGTATGTCATATGGATCTGCCTTATTGCGCATCTTTGCTGCCTTTTGTAGAGCTTTTAATATTTCTAAACCTGAAAGAAAGAGTCAGTTTGGTATATATGTTGAATATTTGTTATAGACATAGCGTGAGTTCCAATATGTTGACTGAATGACTACCATGCTGCAGTGACTGATATTTGTAAAAATACATGTTAGGGAGGATGTTTTGTCATTTCACTTCTTTCTGTTCCAGCTCATCTGTACAACCTGCTGCAGGTGTTATAGGCAGGTATAAAAACAATGTTTTTTATGCACACAGAAATAATTTTAACAGAGGAACTAGAGATGTGGCCATCATAGAAAAGTCTCTTTTCTGAAAAGGTCAATTCACTACTGCTGCGCTCCAAAGGAAATGACAAGAGATGTGCTCTCAGATTTGTGCCTCACAAAAAACCCGTATCTCCAGAGAGATTGGGGTTTTGTGTTACAGGATGCCATACTTAAAATAACCTTAAAATGTTTGACTGAGAAAATACTGTAAAGTTAGGGTGAGATAAAACAAAATAGACTTGTAGCAAGAACAGCTCTGTGTGTGGGAGCTGTGTGTGGACAGCTAAATGAATGGATGACAAGTGGTTGACATGGAAAAAGAGAAAAAGCAGAAGGTAGTTGCCGTAAGATCAAGAGAAGAAAGCTAATAGAGCTGGATACGGTGACAAATCTCAAGTCATCTACTAAAATTTCTTCTTCTTTTCATGCAGCAGTAAAAATATTGGTGGAACTAAATTAAGGCAACAGGAATGCCATCATATGATTTAAGAATATTATTTGTTTTATAAAGGATTTCCTGAGCATTTAATTAAGATGGTTAACTGGGAAAAGTGGTTGTATGTTTCATTGGTATCTAAATTAGCGGAATATGAATTGGTCTGCCTTGCCCTGCTTCATGGACTTACTGTAAAGTTTTTTTAAAGGGCATACAGGTGTATTTCTAGGTATGACACTATTTCTTTCTCACTCTTTCTCTCACTTGTGATATTCCCATTTCTATGAGTTTTTAAGCCATTTTTCATATGTACCTGCCTTTTTCATGTGCAATATGAAGTGTCTGCCTGTGATATTGCATTGATACCTATGTAAATACCTACGCCTCTTGTTAAATTATTGCTTTAGGTCTGAGTTGCCAAAGGCTAAGTGTTAGTTCATGGAGTTTCCATTTGAAAAAAATAAATAGAGTGTGACTATTTCAATCCTAAAATGCTTTTGAGAGTTCAGACCTTTAACAGTTTTCTATAATGGGTGTGCATCTGTCCTTTTATGTTTGTTCTAGAGAGTCGGGGCTAAATGTGCCAAGCAAACATTTTCTACTTCCTGGCCAAGCTGCAAAGTGCAAACCAGAAATAACTTAAGATATATTTTGCTCTTTAATGTCAGGGGGCTGACGAGGCCTATTAAGTTTTTCGTGATGTATTGTGACGGCTTGTCCATGAAGTACAAATCCTGTCTACTGTATTTCTCTTCATCACAGCAGGAACAGCAGGACTCTAACCTGTGATGTTATGTCCTTGTAATGATCACGTGTGACAAAATTGTTTAAAGTGGCAAGAATATAAGTGGTGTAAATAACAAACTTTTAAATGAAAATGTTTTTTGACCGTCTGTCATTATTACAATGGGAAGTACATCAATCTGTAATGTATTTAAAGTGATTGCTTCCTGTTCCTACTTGTTTTTTTGTTTATTTTTTCCCAAAGCCATTTTTGAACAATCCCAGACTTAGACTTTTACAGAGGGGATGGAAAAATTATATGTGTATTTAAGATATAAAGATGATATTCTATCACTAATAAAATGGAAAAAAAGCAGACTAACTGTATGATGCTTATACCGAGAACGAAATTGTTTTGTTGACTTATGAATACCAGTGGTCTTGTTCTTTTTCAGGTGTGCGGAACATGGACATTTTTGAGAAGAAGGCAAATGGGTGACAATTTAATTTCTTTTCTTGGAATAAAACTGGTGAAAGGTGTCTTGGTTTCAGTGTTTGTACATGCATCAATGCTGTAGTCTCACCTTTCCATTCAATATTATTCCAGCACATGGCAGCCTGGAGTTGTTTGTATTTTGGAAAGAATAATTTATTCATTATAGGAGAAACTGTGCCACAGGTCCGTGTCACACTGGGAACTGTTGGGTCAAGGGGAAGGAAACCCATGATGCCCCTCATCTATTACTTGCTGGCGTATTCATATGTGTAATTTTCCATTTTTTCCTTAATGTTGTGAACCAAACCACTCCATGTTTGTGGATTCTTTACAGTTCAGGACATCTTGGACTTGACAATACGTTTGAAGTATCCCAGTATACAGTCTGCTCAACAGTGATAAGATACATTTTTAGATTTACATATCACCTCTCTCAAACATGTATAGAAAACAGTATAAAAGACCTCTGTTTTATAGAACAGAAGAGAATCTTGGGGAACACATTATGAAAGGTTCAGATAGACCTTCTCTTTTATAAATAAATAAAAAATCAAAATATGTTTATGGAAGTACAAAGCTTTATCTTATTTATTCTATTTTATTTTTCTATTTATTTTTATTTTTTTTGCTTGACAGCATAATGCCAATCTTTTTGGATGACTGCAGTTAGATTGAAAAAAAAAACATTATTATAGTATATAAAAATGAATTTCTATTTAGTATTTCTCGCGTGAGTTGGGGTCCGTGAGCTCTGCGCAATGAGAAGTGCAGGTTGTCCGCCATTGCTGTATGAAGAACTATCGGGCTTGGCGTTTGGCTGTCAACAATAAACTTGAGGTGCGGGACGCGGAGCTAAAAGGTCGAGTGAAAGCTCGTCGGCTCCTCCTGAAACCAGAAGACAGCCCTGTCCCTCCCTGAAGAACACTTTCATGCCAACGGACGAAGCAACCATGTCCAATCTCAGCAAAGGCGGCACTAAGAAGGACACCAAAATGAGGATAAGGGCCTTTCCTGTAAGTATTTACCGGAGGAGGTGCTCAAATTGGCCGACAGGCAGTGACTCGATCACCGTGGTCTGGGCTGCTGGCTAAATGCTAACAGGCTAACCAGCTGAGCAGCAACTATGACTTGCCCACCCGTAAACAAAGTGCAGCCGTCAAATGTCCTGTCGCCCTGGTCTGGGATCGGTGGGTTCGGTGTCCGTTTGATGTTATAGCAACCCACTGAAAAGTTTCGAGAGCCCATTTCTCCTCCAATGTTTGAATTAATTCCAACTTCCTGTAAGATAGCTAGCAATTACGTTCAGTCGACAAAGCTGACGCTAACGTTAACAGTCGCTCCTTTTGACACTTGTTGTTTGGCAGTTTTTCAATTGTTAAAGCAATACGTTTGTGATTCAGAGTGTAACAAAAAACATCAATCAGTGTTGTTCTTGTAGGGAAAATTTGGCATCTTTTGAATGAGTGCTGTGGGTCAACCAAACCTGCTAACCTACCTATGCGTTTACATCAGTGGTAAAGTAAAGGATAGATAACCTGCACTTATTGTATTGTTTAAACCTGGTTCTGGATCTTGGTCCAGCTGGCAATCCCTTAGACTGCTATTCACCTCAACATTTCATTTTAGAACTGACCTCTTTCTGCATTAAACATTAGCTTGACTGCAACTAGGCGAGTAAGAACGTAGCATTTCCATCTAGCAAACCAGTTTTCTATTTACTCAACTTTTTTAATACTACTGCAGTTTTGGGTTTTTTTTTTCATAGCACTGGCCTCATACATTTTCCATACCTTTCTGGTGTTAACACAGTTGGGAACTTAACATATTTGCGTTTACACAGAGTAGCCCAGTTATGACAGTTTGACTGAGATCTTGAAATGTGTGTTTCAACTTGTCTAAGCAAGATAAAGCATACACTGATCTTTACCACCACAGTCAAGATTTTCTGTAATATTGAGCAAATGGAAAGGCCATTGATATGTTAAAAGCCATTGTGTAAAGCTCTAATGCAATGCTGAATTATGGAATTATACATAATGCTTAGTAGTACTATGGCAGAATTGCCTTTTTTGGGTGGTTAAGATTAGTTTTTCATTTGACATAATAAAACCAGCCTCAAAACCAATGTAAAACTAAGAAATAGATCATTGTGCTTATGGATATGTGAAAAAAACTAAAATAATTGTTCTCTCTATTGACTACATCATACATAAAGATGTTTATGCTGTGTCATAGCCTCACAGTCACTCATATTTAGGTTTTAAAGTATTGATCTGTAAATGGTATGGATTATTTAGCCAAGTGGTAGGTATAGTGTTGCTCCTATAATGATTACAGGCCTATACACTTTAAATGTTTTCTTAAACTGTGCATTTTGTTTTCAAAGTCCCCCCTCAGCTACAGGCTTCAGGATTCCTTACTGAATCTATACATTAAGCCAGTGTTTCCCAACCCTGATCCTCATGGATCTCAGTCTTGCATTTTTTCCAGGTTACTCTAGCACACCTTATTAAGAGGTGTGTAGGAGCCCTTTGCAAATCAGGTTAGGGTTAGGGTTAGAATAAGGTGTGCTGGATCTTGGAAACTTTGAAAACCTTCTGGACCGTGTGCCCTGATGGTCATCGTTAACATACAATGTATAAACCATAGTGAAGTAAGGATCACTGTAGCATTTCACATCTGGGCAGTAAGTCCTCTCACCAGCATATCTTCCATTGGGAGGTATGAAGGTGTTACGTTGTTGGTAGCTGATAAGCTCTGACCTCAGGTAAAGTGCAGTACCATTTAAGTGGCTAACAAAGTTAGTGACCAAACTTTAGAGAGGTGCTGTTTAAGAAAGAGCGCTATTTAGTCTGTTTTCACATGCGAACAGACCCTGACCTAATAGTTTAAGTCTCTTTACATTGATGGGTTTGTTTTTCAGGTACTTTTGGCTTTATGATTTGGCACAAACCCATATCTAACTCAATCCATTCATGGCTACCTTTTGCAGATGACGATGGATGAAAAGTATGTCAACAACATTTGGGACCTTTTGAAAAATGCCATCCAGGAAATTCAGAGGAAGAACAACAGCGGCCTGAGCTTTGAAGAACTTTACAGGAATGCCTATACCATGGTGCTACACAAACACGGCGAGAAGCTGTACACGGGTCTTCGGGAAGTTGTCACTGAACACCTTATCAACAAAGTAAGACAAACACAGATCACAGTGCTGCAGAGATAAACTGAAGTGACTAAAACACGCACTAGTGCGGCTGTCTTCTCCATCAACCATTTACTTAAACATTACATACCACAGACTGATGTCTACTAAATGTTGTCAAGCAGCAATCTAGGATGACATGATGCACAAAATGATTATCATTAGTGAACATTGTTAAAGATACTCCTCAAAATAATCAATCATATTGGTTACATAACAAGAGGCCTAGAGTCTCCTTTCAGATGTTTGTGTGCTGCTTGTCTGAATTAGACATACCGTAGGTTCATGTTAAGTCAGATTTTGCAGCTTGCAGATTACATAAATTGTTTTATTCAGTAAAATTCTTAAAAAGTATGGACCTAAGATATTGAACAACTCTCGATAAATGTCTGGGTTTGAACAATTCTGGAAGACAAGTGCCACGTTTTTATTAGTTTAAGGTCCATAAGGTAATTTATGTTTGGCTGTGTCAGCTTCAGATGGAAGGATCAACTGTCTGCAAAACTTCCACAAAAGAAGCAAGAAGCCGTGGCATGTGTTACAGGATTTAAGATGTCCTGATTGTTTTGTTTTTTTGTTTTTTCACCTGGAGAGACCCATTTCAAGTGTCACAGCAGAAATGGCAGATTCAACTTTTATTTCTCAATTAATCTGAGCAGACTGTGGAAAATCAAAAAAGTTGCGAAGAGTGCAGTCTTGTAACTATTAGAATAGCTAGTTTTCAAATTCCCACTAATAACTTTGAGAAGCCTTGAGAAGTGTTGCTCCTAATCTGTCTTTTGTGTTTTATAGCATGTAATTGGCTAGACATATAGTCCTTTCACAATATCTGCTGCTTTGGACAGCTTTCAATGTGCGGTTAACCAGGGAATAATATTTCAACTGGCTGCAGTTAATTACCAGCCAGAGGGTTTAACAACTGAATTAAATGTACATTCTCAACTTGGCAGGCTTTGTAATCTAGCAGTTTAAGTAATGTCATCAAGCCTGAGATCAGAGAGGAGACATGCAACGCCCAATTGTGTTTTATTCTCTTATAATGAAATATATTGCTATAAGAGATGAATATCAGTGATTGTTTGGATGCAGTTTCAAAATGCGATGCCAGATTAAAGATGTGTAAAGAACTAAAACCTCTGCTACCCAATCTGAATACATGACCGGCTTCACACGTCCACAGTTGTATTTTCATTTCAGCTCTCTTATTAACAGATTAGAGCGTGCACACCAGCTGCACGGCTCAAACCGAGCTGCAGCCAGGTGTGATGCAGTGCTGACTGAGCCCTCATTCCTCACACCATGGAAGCAGCTCACAGCAAAAATATTTAAATGAAACATTCAGTGGTCATCAGACTGACACTGACGGTTTGGGAAAGTACAAATTCTTACCACAGTTAGTGCCACACTATGGTATAAAAAGGAGAGCTTGAATTTCATGCCGGTTTTACAGGTCTTTCTGCATAAACCAAACCATTCCTTTTTAAGGCAACCTTTTTTTTTCCTGAAACTGATTGTCAGATGGTTCATTTAAGTACTTCTTTAGTGAAGTTTTTTAAAAACATAACCGTTACTTGCTGCAGTCCCATGGTTCAGGACATCCAGGATGGATACAATCACACATTGAATATTATGGAAACGGATAGCATGAAACTATTTTCCATTTTGACTGGATTTTGTTTAGAATCCTGTGTGTTAATGTGTGCCTTTGTTGTTTGGGAGTAACGGCAGAAAACCTGTGCAAATGGATTAACAAAGTTAAAACCTCCCCCCTAAAGTCTTATTACCCTTGCAGTTTAAAAAGATACCAAAAGAACAATGAGTGTGATTTTCTGTTTGTAACCGGGATCTGATAATATTCAAAGTATCATGCTAAAGAGCTCTTGTATTTATGAAGGCCACTCTATTGTAATATGAAGAGCAGAGGCGATAATTAATTATATCTGCCCTGAAGAAGAATAAAAGGGGAGGTCGGTGTGCCCTTAAGAGTTCCTCATGGGGCTCTGGGTTTACAGTGCTGAGTCACACTGCAGGCTGACGGTTATCAAGCTGTTTTATACCTGACTATGAGGTAGAAGGTCTTACTGAATCAGCAAAGAGTCATGGCGGAAAGCTGTGTTGACATGAAATCACACATTTCAGGTTCCTATTTTTATTCTATTTTTGTGCTCTCACGTGGTTTGTTACTGAGACCACAGAAGTGACACTAATATGTCCACGACATGCACAATTAAAACTTTATTGTCCCAAAGGTACGAGAGGATGTCCTCAACTCCCTAAACAACAACTTCCTCCAAACCTTGAATCAGGCCTGGAATGACCATCAGACAGCGATGGTGATGATCAGAGACATCTTAATGTATATGGTGAGTGAGTAAACTGTTTGTTAAACTAAAGATGCACCATTTAAATTAAACCAGAATCATGTGTAACCTTGCTGTTCCTCTAGAGCTGATCATAGATGTAAGTTCATGGGTTTTGGAAATATTGGCTACACCAACTAGCATTATTAAAAAAAACATGAAAAGAAACATTGGAGATTTGAGATTTGCTCACTTTTCTCAATACCTTATTTGTATTCTCTGCCACAGGATCGGGTGTATGTACAGCAGAACAATGTGGAGAACGTCTACAACCTGGGGCTGATCATCTTCAGGGATCAGGTGGTTCGTTATGGCTGCATCAGGGACCATCTCCGACAGACCCTGCTGGACATGATTGCACGGGAGAGGAAGGGGGAGGTGGTGGACAGGTAGCCAAAGATTTAGCGCTCACCACATGACTATTTGATGAGTTGTTTTTGTTTTTGTTTTTTTTTGCTTTCTCAAGCACATTTAGCAGTAAATTAAGGATTGTTAAAAATGTCACCAGAGAAGGACAATGAATGATGAGAGAGATGTTAGATAGTTTCACACTATTTATGCCTTCCAAGAAGAGCTTTAAAACCTCCGATATTCTAAAATATTGATTTCTCTGAGCCTCGTGCTCTGTGGGGTAACTGGATTTTTCAGTCCATGAATGAATTATAAAAAGATAGCTGACTGGAAACTATGTTTTTTTTTTTCCTTAAGTGTTATGGTTCTTTGAGTGTTCTTTCAGCATTTCGTCTGTTTTATCTCTCCTCCAGGGGGGCTATTAGGAATGCCTGCCAAATGTTGATGATCCTTGGCCTAGAAGGGAGGTCTGTGTATCAAGAAGACTTCGAAGCACCATTCTTAGAAATGTCTGCAGAATTTTTCCAGGTTTGGGAGAAAATAGAATTCCTCTGATTTTCTGTTTGTACCTTTTTTTTTCCATATCATCCTTTCCTTTCCTGCATCTTCTCAATCATAACATTGTCACATGTTGTCAGAACACCCTTGGAAAAGGACTGCTAATCCAGCTGATATGTTATTCTTTGTTTTCTCTCAGATGGAGAGCCAGAAGTTCCTTGCAGAAAACAGTGCCAGTGTTTACATAAAGAAGGTTGAGGCCAGAATTAATGAGGAGATCGAGCGGGTGATGCACTGCTTGGATAAATCCACAGAGGAGCCCATTGTCAAGGTGGTGGAACGAGAGCTAATTTCTAAACACATGAAGACCATCGTAGAGATGGAGAATTCTGGCCTGGTTCATATGCTGAAGAATGGCAAGACAGATGGTAAGTGTGCATTCACGTAGATGTCCTTTTATGAAAATACTCCTTTTTGTTTCACATGCTTAATAGACTGTCGCCTTTAAGATTCATTCCCTTTAGACAAATCCATGCCCTTTCAGATGGACAGAAAATGCTATTAGCTTTTCAGTCGGTACAAATGGATTTACAGCATGTGTGTTGATGCATATCCATCCACAGATTTGGCATGCATGTACAAGCTGTTCAGTCGTGTTCCCAATGGGCTGAAGACCATGTGTGAGTGTATGAGCTCATACCTGCGGGAGCAAGGCAAGGCCCTCGTGTCAGAGGAGGGGGAGGGAAAAAACCCAGTAGATTACATCCAGGTATGTTCAGACTGTCAGGACATATTGGTTTGACTCATCCTTTACCATAACGTAAAAGTCTTTCATTCGCTTGCCCCAGCAAAAGACAAAAGTGTCCAAGTGATCTTTCTTGGTGAAGAATATAGAATTATTTCCGCTGGTTGAACACAGTTCAGTATGATGGTGTATTTAGAAGTCCCTGCATGGCACACCAGCAGAGAATAAACTGTCTTTTCCTTCGATTGTGTTTCACTTTCCATTTTTATGTCCGGTTGCTTTGGAAACCACAGAGTAAGGGCTATGCTTCTAAGGGCTAATTTATCTTTTAGTGTTTCTGAACCTCTTGCACTAAATCTGTTCCTGTCCAACAGACACCCACCTCCGTATTTTCTAATCGGATCCCTTCTCCTTTAACGCCTGACTCATTACTGTCTTCTTGTCTCCTCCTTACAGGGTTTGCTGGACCTTAAGTCCCGTTTTGACCGTTTCCTCCAGGAGTCTTTCAATAACGACCGCCTCTTCAAGCAGACTATTGCTGGGGATTTTGAGTACTTCCTTAACCTGAACTCCCGCTCGCCGGAATACCTCTCGCTCTTTATTGATGACAAATTGAAGAAGGGTGTAAAAGGGGTGAGCAGTCTAACAGATTTACACTTTGACTTTAAAACCAAGTAGAGATACTGCTGGCATACTTACTGCTTGCTTAATTATTTATTGCCTTTTAAAAAATGAAATGTCTAAATTAGATTTCTATAATGTAAGTGGTATGACGGAAGCACAGGCTCACATCTATGGATTCTTAAAATGAAACCTTTTTAAAAAAATGTGCGATTTCAAATTACCTTAACGATTAAAAATAACATTTTTGCATGTAATCCAGTCTGTCGCCGGATCCTGTGTCATATTTGCTCTGATTTATCTTCACCTAGCTAACAGAGCAGGAGGTGGAGTCCATACTGGACAAGGCCATGGTGCTCTTCCGCTTCATGCAGGAGAAGGACGTGTTTGAGAGATACTACAAGCAGCACTTGGCTCGACGATTGCTCACCAACAAAAGCGTCTCTGATGACTCTGAAAAGAACATGATCTCAAAGCTAAAGGTGAGCAGGACTGCAATTATGAGAAAAATGTCAATCTAGCCCCGAAGATACACCAAAAATGTTGTGTAATGCACAGATATACAAACTAAATCTTTGCTTTGTGGCCTTTATGATTTTTAAATGTTGTCTTTTCTCTTATCTTCGTTGCTCAGACTGAGTGCGGCTGTCAGTTCACTTCTAAACTGGAGGGCATGTTCCGGGACATGAGTATCTCAAACACAACCATGGATGAGTTTAGACAACATCTACAAACAACAGGGGTGAGGAGGCTCCCCGTGCCGCCGTCATTCTGTCAAATGATCATCCTCTTTGCTCTGTGCGGGCCACACGGCTGCTAGGTGGAGTGCTGAACTGCACTGCTCAGTTGCATACAAACAGTCGTTGGCCTAACTAGCTATATCCAGCTGCAGAGTTTCTGACTTGTTTAGTGTTTGCCCTGGTCATTCCACTCTGTAGTAGCTATTATAAGGTGCCTCATGGTGATAGTGAATATTCTGTCTTGAGTTTTTCAAGATGCAACTGATGGATCTTTTTCTCCATAATGGCCCGTGCACATAGTTATCTGTCATTGTTTTTTTGGATTGAAGAAGTCGTTTCTCCCATTTAGTTTTTGTCATTTTCCAAAAAACGTGATTACTTTTTTTCTTCTTTTTTAACTTTAGGTGTCACTTGGAGGGGTTGATCTCACTGTGAGAGTCCTGACCACAGGGTATTGGCCAACACAATCTGCAACACCCAAGTGCAATATCCCCCCCTCACCACGGCATGCATTTGAAGTCTTTAGAAGGTTTGTCAGTTGGATACTTTACATGGTAAAAGTGAGTTATGAAGGCGTTATGAATGTTCTTTTTTTTTTCTAAACTTCATGGTGGAATAACCTGCGTAAAAGGCCTGGCTTCCCTTTTGTTCAACTGCATCCAGACATTACAAGCATTTATTGTTTTATCACGGGGTATCAAGAGGGTCATGAATAAGACTTGTTAATCCTCACTGCCCCCCCAAGACAATTGTTCAATGTGATCAAAACTATTATCACACTCTATAGACCTGAGAGACATATTTATTCAGTGAGAAGTAGCTTAATCTAGGCCCCTTTAAATTAAGATTTCTGTATATTTAGCTTTTATTGGTCTTTATTGTTTACTAGTAATTCTGTTCATGTGGAAATTGATGAGACTAACACTCCTCGTTTCCCTGCTCGCTGTCAAAGATTAGTTTTTTTTTGTTTATTCCTCGAGTCAGAACTGCTGCGAGTTGCTGCCAAACTTCACGTTGGGTCTCATTCTTTTGCCTCTGGCATAACGTGCTCACAGCAGAGCAACGTTAGTTGTGTTGTATTGATTGCTCTGAGAAGTTACACCAGCTTTACTCCCTCTGCTTGCAGGTTTTATCTTGGTAAGCACAGTGGCCGACAACTCACCCTGCAGCACCACATGGGATCTGCTGACTTAAATGCAACCTTCTATGGTCCTATCAAAAAGGTATGAGCCATGTGTGGAGTTTTGTCTGTTTCACTTTTTAAGACTGTTTTTATGGCAGCATTGAGTGGAAAACTCTTCTATAAAGTCAAAGGAGGTGGTCATCAATAGTTTTTGTTAATACTTCATACACTTTAATTTAACATCAAAGTGAAAATCAAAGATAAATTATCAGCATGGTGTTTCAGGTAATAAGTGCTTTTTTTTCATACAGATTTTTTTTTTTCTTGTATCTTTTTAACATTGTCTAAATAGGTAAACATAAGCTTTTTATGCAAATGTAGTGTCCCGCTTCTTTAACTGACTTATGATGTTCTGAACAGTTTTTAGATCATGAGTGTTTGTCATATCGACAGGAGGATGGGTCGGAGGTCGGAGTGGGAGGGGCTCAGGTCACGGGATCCAACACCAGAAAGCACATCCTTCAGGTGTCCACCTTTCAGATGACCATCCTCATGCTCTTCAACAACAGAGAAAAGTCAACATTTGAGGTAGGAAACTTGAGTCAGAACATGGTGTAACTTTAGGTGCATTGTTTTTGCTAAAGACATTTACAAACTTCTGAGAAGTGGCAACAAACACTGACTAACTGGGCTAATGTGAATAAACTGTAACATTTAGTTTCATCAGAAGGTTTATTATTGGTAAGGACTGTGATTATTGTAAAAGAAGCAGAAGGTGAAGTGACAGTGAGGTAAATATGAAATATAGTGGAAAAAGATGCAAACAAAGCAAATCACCTCACTATTAATGACAAAAAAACATAGAGGTCTTAAAGATTTTGTAACAAATGGACATGTAAACACATTTTTTGAGTGGACGGCTTGATTTGTAACTCTTTACAAAAGTGTATTTAAAACGTCATTTTGTGCTTTAGCTCCTTAAAAGAAAATAAGTCCCTCCCTTCACCATGCAGGAGATCCAGCAGGAGACGGACATCCCAGAGAGGGAGCTGGTGCGAGCGCTGCAGTCTCTGGCCTGTGGAAAGCCCACGCAGAGAGTTCTCACTAAGGAGCCCAAGTCCAAGGAGATTGAAAATGGGCACGTGTTTACAGTCAATGACCAGTTTACCTCCAAACTGCACCGTGTCAAAATCCAGACAGGTAAACAAAATCTCCCCAATTACATACGCTTTCTCAGGCTCAAATAGAAAACATAAAATGTCATTTTTTCTGTACTTTTCCAGTATCTAAACAATATAAACATGTTATGACAAGGGAATTGATTAACTTGAACGTCACTGTCTTTTGAGTCCATCATATTCTGTAATAACTAGCAGCACCGAGCCGGCACTACCGTTTGTCTTGTGTATTTGGATTCAGGCCTTTCCTTCCATACTGTCGCATGTAGCTATGAGATATACTAATGGAATTCACCAAACATTAAGTTAGACTCAAGAGGCTCTCTTGTTTATGATATCAGTTGTAAAAAATCTTCTTATCACCCATATATAATACAGTTTTTTTTGTTTTTTCCCTCTAGTGGCTGCTAAACAGGGGGAGTCGGACCCAGAGAGGAAAGAGACGAGGCAAAAGGTTGACGACGACAGAAAGCATGAGATTGAAGCGGCCATCGTTCGCATCATGAAGTCTAGAAAGAAGATGCAACACAATGTCCTAGTCGCAGAGGTCAGACAGTCCTTACCACTAAAGCCTACTAATTATTTCTGGGTGTATTTGCGTCCACATTTTTCACAGTGGACACAAGCACAAAATTTTTTGGTCAGTGAGTCCTCTGGTGTCAAAGCCTCACATATAATACCTGATCGTTTTTTGTTCTAGAGGTACTCACTGATTGTGCATTTAACCTAAATTACAAATATTTGATAATAAAAAAGTAATTTTGATAGGAAACCCTAATTTCTTGTGAGCCTGCCTGTGCTGTGTGAGAGGCCTTTAACAAATTGAAAATGGTGTTAATGCAGAGTGATAGTGACAGGATTAAAAGAGATGTGGTGTGAGCAATAATTCCTGCTTTCTCTTCTCTCTACAGGTCACACAGCAGTTGCGAGCAAGATTCCTTCCTAGTCCTGTAGTCATCAAGAAGCGCATTGAAGGACTTATTGAGAGAGAATATTTGGCGAGAACGCCAGAGGACCGCAAAGTGTACACTTACGTAGCATAATTCACTGAAAGCTAGCATCAAGTTGAGAGAAACTGGGGGCCTTTTTTTTATTTTTGTGGACTGCTATGTATTTGAACTTGGAAGTGCTTTCATCGTTGATTCTGGGAAACACTGGGAAGCTTAACTTTTCTTCCAGACAATGTGTTTGAAAAAAAAAAATAATGCAAAAAAGATGGTGAAGTTTTCTAGCAATATTAGACTTCTGAAAGAGATGGAATGGAAGGAGGGGATCTAGTTTTTGTATAAACTCCTGTTTCTTGTGGCCTTTGGAGAGAACTCGGTAAGCCTGTTTGCCAGTCAACCACTCACTGTCAAGAACACACGTACAGCAAACATGTGGCTACACGGAGCTCAAGAAAATATTTGAACTCACTCCCCTGTTTTAAATGTTAATGTCAGTGTGTCAAGTTTTGTGTTTTGTGGCACAGCCATGGCTGTACAGCTTGACAGACAGGCTTGGCCTAACAGATGGATTTTTTTACATTCAAAGAAAAACATGAATTGTTAACTAGCTCAGACCTGGTTTACAAGCGCAGTGAAAGACATTTGAGTATTTGAGACACCGTGAAGATTTCTTAATTTATGCTGCAAGTATGTCTTTTTTTGGGAGGTTATTTTAATGGTGCATTTAATTAAAGGTCACCACACATGCCAGAAATATATTTAAAGTGATTTTCAAAACGTGACCAGGTCTGTACTGGCGTTCATAGACCAAGTGCTTTTGATTCACAGCAAGCTTTTATCTAATGGGTCAAGTTCAAAACTCCATAGATATGTGGTCCCTAGTGTCACATTTTTCACTTTATGCCTGCTGTTTGTTCAGCCATGAAATGATCTCCTCTCTTGGAATGGAAGACTCCTTGTGGTGCAGGTTTCAAAGAGGATTTTTTTTGCTCTTTGACTGCATTTTGAACAGGTGGAACCAGTGAAGCACCATGCTTTAATGTGTACAAACTGTAAAATATTAATTGTACTCACTGCAAAGGTGGATTGTACAGGGCCTTGTTTTCATCATATTAAATGTAGAGTTAAAAAATAAATAGTTTTTTTTTTTTTTAAACTTCTTTCATGAGAAGGCCTTGGCAAGCACGAGAAATGGTTTCCTCACTTGCCATAATTTAAGTTTTGTTTAAATGGGAGACATTGAAAGGTTCTGAGCTGTGAAGAATTTGGCAGAGCTACCCAAACAACATTGTTTACTTCATATTTTAAGTTGTTTTTTTATTTCTTTTAGAAAATGTGCAAAAGTTGTCTGTGTTGCATTTGACTCGTTTCCTACTTCGCTATATTACACAGTATATCAGAAAAAAAGACTTATTTTTGTCTATATACAGGATCGGTTACTTTCCTAATTAGGAAAAACTGGTCAAATTTGCCTGCTTCCAGCATGCGCGTGAAAGGAAAAAACTTTTGGTTTGATGTGTTCCATTGTCTGTGGAACTTGTTCATCTATATTATATAATCAGAGCAGCACAGTCATTGGTGGTAAAAGATTTGTACATCCACATTTCTGCCACTCCACTGTGGTTCCTTATTTGGCCAGATGACCAACACTTATTTCCATCACATCCATTTTCCCAATGACTCAAATTAAAACCATTAACTAAAACTTTGTTCTATGAACTGCAAGTGTTGCATGAACTTAGAACTCTTTATAATTTCTCATATTATTCTAAGGGGTGAAAACATGTTTTGTTTTGTGTTTATTTAAGAAATATCCTTTCAGTTATCACTTCAAACATTGTGACTAGTCACTAGACTAGTTCTATACGGACATCCACTGACATTTACTGGCCAAATGAATGTTCCCAAACTTCCAGTCTTAACGCCTAAGCCTCCATCATGGCAACTTGTTCAGATTAACATTTATTACATTTAAATTCTTTTGAATGTATTCTACTGTTGCTTTCAAAATATATAGCTTGCAGTCATCGTTTGTTTCACAGCAATATGGAAACAGAAAATACCTCCATAGAAAAGTCACTGTATTTATTTATTTACATATTACTGCTGACTTTGCTGAATTGATGTGGGTCGGGATGTATTAACATGAAGCTGTCTTTTTTCTCTCGCTATATTTGGAGCTTCTGTATGGACGGTCAGAGTTAAATGCTCTTGGCGAGGTTTTGACAAACATCGTCTTTCATTTTCAAGCCCTGCCCTCCACGTATAAATCTGCTTAGCCCGTCTGCTCCGTGTCCTTTGTCCTCCCGCATTGTTAGACCCGTGCCATCTGCTCTCTGTTATTATCACAGGCGGCTTTGGACTTAAAGTAGCAACACCTCTGTTGCTCCCTTTCTCCCAGAATTTCCTCTCCGTATCTAGCAAAAACAGACCTCAGCCGACGTTTACGCCGAGTTCGACAGGATACTCCGCCAGTCTTTTGTCTTGAATATATTGTGCCAAACTTTGAACATAACGGCTTATTGTTGCCTGGTGACGTCAGAGTCCCACTAAGATCCCAGTTCGTTTTTCCCCTTTGGCAGCCTGTGGAAAGAAATCTAACGGGATGCTTTGCGCTCTGGGTTGGGACATTTGCGACCTCCGCGCAAACCCTCTGCCCGGAGCACTGGACCAAATGTGAAAGTGTGACCCGGACGATGTGGCCCAGAGCGGCGGGGATAAAGAGAACCGACGATGAAAACGTTGACTCCGGAGCTGAAACTGCGGAGTGAGTCAACTCTTGTCTGAGCTTTAGCACGGAGCTAACTAACGTTAGCCAACTCTGCTTTTCAGCAGCAGCCACAATGGAAATTAATTCAGCCCAAGACGGTATATTGCCATAGGTTTGTTGTTTTACGCCGGGAGCATAATTGTTGTTTAAACGTCCTCAAACTTCGACTCTTACTTTGTGTAGATGCCGAAGTTTTTGTCGTGTTTTGTCATAAATGTAACTTTTTTTTTTCAGCCCATGCTAGCTAACAACAGTAAAAGTGTTGTCATGGTGACCAACGCAAAGGGGCACTTTTCCAAACCAATCACCACAAGATGGAGACAGATTTTTCTTTCCTCCATTGACTGATACACACGACATGTGCTTTTAATTTTTCCTTTTTCAGATCGGATTGCTGCAGGATGTCATCGTCTGCCAGTGAGTATTTTGTAATCACACGTCTTAAAGTGGCACGCCACTAACTTGCTGTATGTAGTCACATAAAGTTGGCTATCATAGATCAACAGTATCGCAACATTGCTTAACAAAGGCTTAACAAAAACATAAACGCATACATTTTTAAAAAAGGATTGCACGATCTATGGGGGATTAAAAGAACAGGAAATAACAGAATGATCAGCCACACAGTTGTGTGTGTGTGTCTGTATATATGTGTGTATATGTATGTATATATATATATATGTGTGTGTGTGTATGTATGTATGTATATATATATATATATATATATATAAATGTGTGAGTGTTTACAGTACATGTATACATACACATATATATTATTTTGAGTTTTAAACTATTAGATGTGCATCATCTTCAAATGCATTTACAGACTAGGTTGATGGCATTTCCTATTCAACCGTCCCTCTATTTTATACACCGACTGTACCGGTCCACTAGAGGGGCACCAGACCACCAGAAACAAATAACTGAAACCATCAACTGTTTCACTTGAATTACACAAGTCAGTTTAGATTCACCAGTAAACCCTGCATTTTTTTTAAAACACTACAATGAAGCTTTGAATCTTTTTTGTGTTTGATATTAATTCATAACTCATGCTATATGTCCAAGTTAGTTTTTCTATTGTCTTTTTTTGGATTCTTTACAATTTGTTATGCACAGCATTTACAGGCATTTTGCCTAATATTGTTAAGGATTTACAAAATTACACTGACAAGCTCAACAGCTCCCCAGAAGAAACTAATCAGTTGGTTAGACTCAAAGCATGTCTCAAAGAAGTAAAGAGCTGAATGGCTGGATGTTCTGTGGACCCAAGAACTGTCTTGCTCTGTAATTTCTCTAGATGGCATTCATTGGCTGCTACTCCTACAGTGATGAACCTTGGAATTCCATTTGCTCAGATTCTTCCACCTTTTGAATTGGTCAAAATATGAATCATTATTGAACCAGCTGGGCAAAATCTGCCTGTTTTCTGGCCTCTTAATCTAAAGTGCCTTGGGTTGACATTTGGCACAATGAAAAAATGAATTAAGAAACATCTGAAGAGGGTGAAGATGAAGAGTTTGTAAATACATGGCTGTTCCAACACTAGCAGCCTGCCACTGTTTACTTCAACTGCTTATGATGGCAGGACATCACTTGCGTGTGTGGCCTTGTTTTTGTTGACTTTATGTGTTGTTTGTCTGGGGCCTCAGCTGAGCTGATGACCAGGCGGGTCAGGCAGCAGCGGCAGCAGCAGCTCCTGATGATGAACCTGCATCTGCTGGCCAATCCTGGAGACTCGTTGCTGCTACAGCAGACTCTGGATCGCCTGCTGCGCTGGCTCTGTCCAAGCCTCCGCATCTTTCACGTGTCTGAGAGGGCCTCCCCGTTCAGAGGCTACACCCGCCTCTGTCCTGTGGCAGGTGAGCGTCTCTGGTGGAAGGTCCTGCTTTACAATAATAATTTTGTTGTCCCCCTCTACCTCGGGGCATTTTGTAGAAGTTGTCTCTTATTTTTCTTTTTTTTTTGTGGTGTAAAGATGCCTTGCCATGACTAGAGCCACCCAGAGCTGTTTGTAGCTTTAAACAAACCTTTGTCAAAACTTTCCAGGCTACCCGTCGTTGGCCATCACTTTCTTCCTCCATGAGGCGTATGGAGAGGAGCGAATCCTCAAAGTGCTAGACTTCTTCCAGCGGCCTCCCTGGCAGTACCACCACACTGAGAGCTGTGGCAGCAGGACCGGGGGGATCCATATTTCATCCAGCAGCTCGCCTTCCAACGCCCTCCTGCGGCCCTACCTCCTGCCCAGCAGGGACTTCTACAGCCTGGGTGCAGGAATGCCGGTGTGGGGGGTGCGGCCTGTGCACTGCGGAGGAGAAATACTGCGCCTCACCCTCTACAGCGGCTACGACAACTATGAGGACGCTGTGCGGCTGTACGAGACGGTGCTGCAGCGGCAGGCAGAGGAGCAGAAGACCGGCTTCTGCTGGTTCACCCTCCACATAGGTTCAACTTTAAATGTTTCCTGTCACTTACTGTATTATTTGACATATTTATTTATCCTCTGGCCTTTTTGCTCCATTTGTGCACACAGAGCCAGGGCTGTGCCTTCAGCTGGCCTTAAAGCAGCTCTCACCGGGGGTTCGAGTGGAGCCGTGCAGTTCTGCTGTGCTGCAGTTTAGTGTTGAAGAGATCGGCCAACTCGTTCCCCTCCTACCTAACCCCTGCACCCCCATCAGCCCCTCACGCTGGCAGACAGAAGATTTGGACGGCAACAAGCTCCTCTTTCAGGTAACCACAGCTTGAGGTGTATTTTTATAATGCTGGTAAAGGCTACGAGTCCGGCACCTGTCTTCAAAGTAGTCATGTTGAAGGCAATTTGTTACATCATGCTGAGAAAATAGTCTGAATGAAATAATCAGTTATTTGAGCCATTCCCTTGTGAAGTGTTGCTTCAGCCGTTGGAAATCTGTGCACAGCCTCCTAATGGGCAAACTACTGCTTTTTGTTGGATTAAGGCCTTACTTTGACCAAGCCCTTGCAATACCTTGCTTCTATCTTGGTTAAATGTCCGCAAAACAAGCCCAAATGAATCCCCCCCACCACCACCATGCTCAATAGTTGGTACAAGGTTTATTTGTTGATATGGTATCATAATGGTGCTTCTCGGCCCAGAAAAATCACTGGCATCTATGTAATTATCCCAAGAGCTAAGGTTGTATGCTCCAAAAGAATTCTAAAGATATCTTAATGTTTTTTTGTTTTATTCTTGCTCTTATGATTATCTTAAAAGGTTGATTATCCCACACAGACTGAAGTCAAAGCTGTCAGAATAACCATCTGTCTGATGCGTGCGTGTTAATTCTGTCAAAGTCACTTATCTAAATCTCTGTAGCCTTATGTGGAAATCATAATCCTGCTCCTCCTGTCCTTCTGTGCTGCAGGTGAAAACCCCAACTCAGCCTCTACGAACTCTAACATGTGCTTTTCCCCCCATTGGCTCAAGTGTGTGCCCACGAGGGCTGCAGCTCAGGAGCTCAGGCCAAGGCCTCACAACCCCTCTGTCCTGGCAGACTCACAGCCAAGGTACAGGAAAAAAACCGTTAAACTGACGGCCAAGAGGACAAGTAATGACATAGCTACCCATTTTAACTATGTGAATGTTAAAGTCCAGGATTAGTTTATTTGCAGTAAGTATTAGAACGCACAAAACAAAACCATTTAGACCTAATAGTTAAGAAACGGTCAGATAAGGCCAGGTAGGTTTATTTGTTATATTATGTGGACTTTTCAAAGTGCAGTCTTCTGTGACACACCTTGGTGTTTGTGTGCTTGCTGGCAGGACTCAAACCGCACAGTGACCCTCTTTTGGAAAAGCTTCCTGGAGGGATAGTTGGAGCGGAGAGTCTGGGATCAGGAAGCTGCTGCAGCAGCCCTCCTGGCAGCTCCTGTTACTCGTCCCAGCGCAGCAGCCCCGCCCAGCTCTCTGCCTCCAACCCCTCCAGCTCCCCCCTGCGCCCCTCCATCTCTCGATCTCACCCCCATCTCCTCCTGGAACAAGATGAGGAGGAGGCAGAGACCAATGTTGACACGGGAGCTGCTGTCTCTCCTCGCCCCGAGACGGCGGTCAGAGCGATGCCCCGCTCCGCCTCCAGCAGCCTTTTGATGGCTGTCCGGTCTGAGAGGCCGGCGGCTGTCGGGGCTTCATCTGTCGAGGAGCTGGCCAAGGAGTTGACCGAATGCCTGCCACGGCCACACGCGCCCCCACACAGGCCTTCGGGAACGTGGGCACCGGGGGGCTGCACGGACGCAGCCTTTGGGAGCAGGACCGCAGCCGCAGGACAGAGCCCCTCCAACAAGCTCTTGGCAGAGAGAAGTACGACCGCTGAGCCGTTGTCCCCACGTACAAACAATGGTGAGCCGGTCGACGAGTTCTTCATCTAAATTCCTGCCGCTATGACACAAGCTGTGATAACAAGCAGTGGACGCAGAGGAAGGGACGGATAACGGAGGCCTGCTCTGGAAAACTGAGCCTTGCAGCAGGTGGTACTCCTCACCCAGAAGGGTCCAAAGTCCCTGCATAGTTCCCAGGGCGTACACTATTCAGACACCCATCAGGAGATTCTAACGAGGTGAGCTGGGGTTTAGTGTTGAATGTAAAACTGAACATAATTAGATTAGGTCCCGATTTGGGCAGCTATTATGTTGAAGGGTAGCTCAGTGAATAACACAGTAACTGTTGTATTTAAGTGGTACTGAACATCACAGACTGTAAAGCTAACATTTGAGCTTCTCTGGAAACTTGCAGTGTGACTGTTACTGTGTTGCTGTTGATCATGATAAGAAATCGGATTCAGCCAATGCAGTCTTTGTTACAGGTCTGAGACCAGCCTTTACTCAGCACAAGTCAAATCATGTGGCATTTCATTACACCTTTTTATATGCACTTCGAGTCATTCTCCAAGTATTTTTGCGTTGAATGTTCAAATGCTGGATGAGAACTGGCTAACTTACTGTATTAAAGAGGATTAAAATTCCTTTAATTATTTTTTTTCTCAGAAGGCTCAAGTATTCTGAACTAAACAGCCTAAATGTATGCTGAAGGTGGGGCCTGAACAGGCTCATTAATATAAATCCCCCCTAAGATGAGGGATCAACCAACAGATTAGCAAAGTGAAAACTTTGCAAGCAAATTTGAATTGGACTGATGATAGAACAGATGGCCGTTAAATCGCCCTAAAGTGCTCATGATCACTACAACTGTTTCAAAACAGAACATCTCAAGAGAAGAAAAATGTATCCAATAATAACAATATATAATTCAACTCGATTAATTTTTCAAAGTTTTTTCTTGTAAACCAGGCATTCAGTTTAATGCTAAGTGGATTGAATTCAATGGAAAGACTGTACATCTTGGAATGTTATTCAAGTGTTTACTGTAAATGAGCAAGGAAAACAATTAACATTATCAGGAAACATTTGAAGTTCCTCTGTGTCTAAAGCGTACAGTGATGGGGTTAAAACAAAAATAAAATTGAGATGAAGCATCTCATGAAGTGTCATTAAGCCAATTAAACATACCAACACATAAAGCACTCAAACGGCATCCGTGTTTTTTCATTGTCTGATGTCTGAAAAATATCTACAGAATTTATGATGAGGTCTGAATGCTCACTTGGTTTATTCACATGTTGCAGAAAGAGTCAGGCTTTTTTAAATAACTAGTGACAGTTAGGCAACATACAATTTCAGCCCAAAGCTCACATATATGGAATGCCACCAGTAGGATTGCAGAAGCAAACTGTTTGTTTAACAGAAACGTGTACTGTTTAGTTGTTATTTTTTTGACTGTGCAAACAAAAACCTTTTTTTTTTTAAGGCAGGTTTGTGTGAAATCACCCCCACCCATTTATCGCTGTCACATAAGCAGAAGACTATATTAAGAAGACTGTAATTATGCCTACACACCATATACATACACACACATACATAAAGTAATAACTGCTCAGTAGTATAAATAATGCATGTGCCTGAAAATGTTTAAATCAATTTGAGTCGGACTGGTGCGAGCTCCTCACCTGTTGCAAAACCGTCTGCTGGCTCACGCTAAAACTGGACATCTACAAAGTGCACTTTTGATGGCGTGGCTCCCTCTGCTGGTCAGAGGATGTTGTTGCTCTGAGGCGTGTTGCTGCAGCCAGTCCAGCTCAGGTGCTTGGCCCACCGGCCCTCTCTGGTGACCCGCACTTTCACCGGGTCGAACCTCCAGAACTGCTCGTCTCTGAAGAGGTAAAGCCGGCCGTCGGGACGGGTCAGCGCCCCGTTGGTCCCCTGCGGCACGCCGGTCCAGTCGGTCAGCCTGCGCGGGTAGTAGGGCTCCTGTCGCAGAGTTTCCAGGTTGAGCACAAAGTAGCGCTGGCCCTTGAAGAGCACCATGTGACCCAGAGGGGCGTAATAGAAGGCGCAGTCGGGGTGGCGGGGCAGGCCCAGCTCGGTGCTCTTTTTAGGGAAGCCGGGGTCCAGCTTTCTGCCGGCGTAGCGCCAGATCCTCCTCCCTGCACAGGATGGGACACATGGGCTGATTTATGCTCAAACAGGAGACACCGCAGTTCATTATTTATTATCTCCATAGCCCCATAGGGACGTTCTTTGAGGCCGCCCGATAGCCCGACAGGTGCAGGAGGCAGAGACAGCTTCGGTACGGGCGTCATATGGAAATGTTACATCCCTTCTGAGAGCAGGCGATGATTTATGCCGTATAAAGGAAGCCTCATTAGAGCCACGGCACTTAAGATAAAACGGTTTTGCATTTCACAGATAAGAGAATCATGATTAATCTGTCAGGTCTTTGGTCCTTAGCAGGAAATTCAAGCGAGACGCGTAGCCTCTGGCACAAAAGGTGAAGCTAATTAATACCGCTGAAGCCTCAGCGCGGCTTGATCTTTAAAAACCATTTAGCTTGTAAAAAAAAAAAAAAAAAAGAAGAGGCTTTCATATGTAAATCTAGCGGAAAGGGCAGGGAGTGTGGTCATTATTGAGCTGGATGGAGCCGTACCTTTGAAAAAATACCACTTGGAGTCCAGCGGGGAGAAAGCGGCAGCCTCGATGGCCTGTGGGAGGTCAGGCCAGTGCTGGCGGAGGGGCAGCGGGCCGCTGACCCTTCCCTCAGCTGACACCGCCCAGTGGACGCTGCCCCGGAACACCAGCACCGTCCCGTTCTGGTCTGGACACAAAAGTTAAAGGCATTTCCTCCTAAAATGACTCGTGTTATTGCTGTATATGTTACCTTTTGCTTTGAAAGTAAAACAGGGCCTCACCCATTGTGATGGCATCGAAGCCTCGCTGGCAGTAGAGGGGCAGTCCTGAATGTTCCCGCTGCTTCTGGAGTTCTCTGACCTCCCACTCCTGCAGCGCAGCGGACAGCACCTGACCTGGCAACCTCACAGGACGATCCCCCAACGGTTTACCTAAAAGATCCCACATATCAACCAGACGGCCAACGTGAATCCATTAGATGATGAAGGCAACCGTCAGAAATCCCTCGGGAGGCTAAATTCCCCCTGAGTGATTGAGTCGAGCCTTAATGGGTCACATTTTCTGACCTCTAATGACCCAAAATGTCTGTACCGCAGATCAAATCATTTCTCATGCATTTCCCAAACGCCAAATAGTTTTCTAAATGAGACAAAGGTAAAAGACAAACATGTGAGAGGTCCTCCAAAACAAGGAAATGGAAATGTTGACTTATAAATTGTCCGTTGCAGGATGTGGTTGGTTTGGTGTATACTGATGAATGACATTACACAGAACAGGAAATAAACACAAGACATCAGACAGAGCACACACACCGCAGTACTGATCAGATTCATTTGACTTTTAGAACTGAAATAAATCCCTCTGTGGCTGCGGAGCCTCATTTTTCACAGGCCTCTGCTGGTGGCATTAAAAACAATAGAATAGAGAACACAAAAGACTATCGGCCAAAGGCAGACGATAGTATTTTAAACAATGATTACAGCCACTTTGTTTGCATGGAGCTGGACAAACATTTGTGTGGGAGGTGGATAAAATCAGCACACCCATGAACTGGAGGAAGACTACAGGAAAAATAGATATACACACCACGGTGGATAACAGTATGGAGATAAGGCCTGGATGTCTGACTTCAGTCAAACAGAGAGCCTCCCTCCCCCCCGTGCCAGGCCTCCTTCATCAGGGTTTGAGTAAAGCCATCACACGGAGCACCAGCTTAAATTACCTCATGTAAAAAGCATTGCCTCCTAAGCTGAACAGTTCTGTATGTTTGTCTTGTAAATTTCGACGTTTAGATTTGATAAAATAACATACGGATATGTTGAAACTGAATCCAATTCAGGACTTTGATGGAAAAACGATAACCATCTAGATAAAGGTGTGCGTTACTCCACACAGCGTGGGCTTTGGAACCAAACTAAGGATGACATTCACTCCTGAACTCAAAGAGTAAGAGTGTGGACACAAGCAGCTAAGATGTGTTTTTCATTCGGGGGGTGGCTGGACTCGGATCTCGGCCATCCAGAAGCAACTCAGAGCGGAGCTTCTGCTTTTCCACATCAAAACCAGTCCGCTGAAACGGTTTGGGCATCTGGTTATCAGGCCTGTTGGTTTCCTCTCTCTGAAGGCTTTCCAGGTTTGTCTGACTGTGAGAAGACCCTGGAGCTAGATGGAGGTATTATTGGCTAAATCCAAATTATTAACGATTAAAGCTGTGGAATGCTTTTTTCCTCTGTCAACTTCACTTAACAACAAGGAGAGTAAAAGTAGCACAAGATTTAAGAAAAATTCAAAATTTCAGCACTTATCACTCACTTATCCCTCTGGATTTTAACAATACATGTCAAACTAAACATACAGCCACATTTTCCAAAATTTGGGATTCTGATTAGAGCCAGCTGTTGATTCATCTGACCTCTGCTCTCCACCTAACCAATGCTGCATGTGTTGTTCATGCATATTTTCTTTCGGTCCAGTACCTATCCAGTTTCAACACGAGCAAGTGTTTTGCAAAATAACATCATTCATTTCCGTCCATCCTTTTGAAATTTCATCTTTTGAGAAAGCCATCCCATCTATGTGGCTGAAGACATATCTGTTTCGCCTCTTCAGCTTTCTAATCGCAGCTCAGAAAAACAGCATGCCAGGACGACCCGGGTTTCCGTCTCCAGCTCGTGTCCCGGAGCAGACGGGGCCGTTCTGCCGCGTCAGCAGTCCTGTCAGCGGCTGCTCTGGTGTGCATCTCTCTGCTTGTCTTTTACCCCCCGAGCAGCTGCGGAAACGACTGCCATGAGGCTGAAATCACTTCGGTAGGCAGACGGGAGAAGAGCAGGCGGTTCGACTCACCACCCACCCGACTGCCACTGGGAAACACTGACTGCAAGTGAATGAGCGGGGATGGCAGAAGTCGAGGACAGAATATTTCCAGCCAGCAGACGAGACTCCTCAGATAATCAAAAAGAGGGAGTCAGGAGGCCGGCCTCTCCTGAGCCAAATCTAAAGTTCATAGCCGAATTATTCAAATGATTGTGAGACTATCCTGCAGCAAGGCAAACATTCCTGCAGACCTCTGCAGGCTCACAGGCAAAGCAGGGAGCAGATTTTTTCTGCCTATTGTTGATTCAAAGCACCACATGATCCCACATGCAGCCGGGGAGCCCAGCTACTCCAAGACGTGTTTTGCAACCGTTACAGTGGAAATAAGTCTCCCTGCGCAGCTGGAAAAAAAAACAACAAAAAGCTCGACTCTAAAGAGAGCTGCGTGTGTAAACCTGCCTCACGCATGCCGGGAGGGACAGCCTGCTAACAGTAAATACAAAACTATTATACACCGAGTCATAATCTGAAGCTCCCACACTCTGCAGCTACACCCAGTAATCTGCCACAACAAAGCTGACAGAAGCTCCCGGGTGACTGGCGTGGGAGCAGTGTGATCAGGCCTCAGAGTGTTGTTGTCACACACCAGCTCCCAGCTGCTGCCGTAAAAACCCTCTTCTGATAAGAGCCGGACCATCCTGCCGCAGAGATAAGCTAAAAGCGCCAAGAGAGGGGTGTTGTGCGGCAGAAATGCAGCAAATGCAGAAAGTTTCCAAGTTTCCCAAAGTTTTTTTCGATAGCGGTGAACTTGTTTACACAAAAGCCCTGAACGCGCGTGGGTCAGAGTCAGAGGGAAAAATAGATAGAAGATGTGGACTTTCTGGATTTGATCAAATAGCCTTTTAGAAAGCAAATCTAACAGGGGCTGGAATGTGGAGACTTGTTCAGCAGTTCTGCTCATTCTCATTCTGTGTTTGCAGCTGTTGCCCTTCTAGGCCTTTTTCTCAGCTACTGATTTAATAGGCAGCACAGGAAAAAAAAAAGACAAAAAAAAGACCCTACCTCTGTGTAGCCTCAAAGGCAACAGGACTGACCCGAGTGTCTGTGGAGCCGGTCACATCACACACATTTTTCATCTACCCGGTAAGATTTTTTTTTTGGTTTTGTGGGTTTTTTTGTTTGCCTCTCCTCAAATTTCACACTTGAGGTTGAAGAAGAAAAACATCCCAGTCCTGGGAAGGTGCTACATTTAACACATCCTCTCTCTCTCTCCTCTCGTTCAACAAAGGACTCACTTTCTCAGAAGCAGTGTTTGATGTTTAACCTGGCTGCTTCTCTTTTTAATCTGTACCTGTGAGCTCAAAGCCACCACGCAGCCGGACCGGACCGGATGGGGATCGTTTCCTCTCACCGTAGAGCTGCTGCACGGCCATGACATCGTCCCAGCTCAGCACCAGGCTGCGGCCCAGCTTCCTGTAGTACGGCGACATGAGCGCGTGCGGCACGGGCGAGTGCTCCAGGCCCAGGGTGTGCCCGATCTCGTGGGCCGTCACCATGAACAGGTTGTGGCCCTTGTGCCCGTTGAGGGTCCACCTCTCCGCCATGTCGAAGTGGGCCTCCCCCCGCCGGGGCAGGAAGGCGTGGGCCAGGGTTCCCCCTGGACAGTTACAGGGGGAGATTAGCTTCACGCAGTTTGGATGCCAGGATTTCAGCTTTGTTGTGTTTTCTGAAAAGGGGTTTTGTTAGGTGGAGTGATTTCTGAGAGCAGAGGGTAATCAATAGGAGGATTTAGGTTTTGGAAAAGATAAATGTTTTCATGACTTTTCATGACGATAAAGCCACAAATGCATAATAAAACAAAAAGATGCTCTGTCTCCATTTGTGGCGTTAGTATGACCATCCCTCATCAATCCAGTCATACTCTGGATGAATAAGCATGTCTAAATTACATACGGCAGTGGAATTTGAAACTTTTACTTTAATTTGGTTGTATTAAGTTATCAACATGAAACCATCAGAAACAGTTTTTCATATTTTAAATATTTGCTACTGGAGGGATAAAATGAAAGATTTCCAAACCGATAAAAATGTTAGGTTATCAGCTTGTCAGTGATCACTTGGCGTGGGGGGATGACCCTCACCTGGTCCGTCAAAAGCGTTGCTGGACCCGTCGTTGTGGTCCCCCTCGTAGAAAGCTAGCCGGATGTCTGCGGGCCCTTTGGAGGCCTCGCGGAAGACCAGGCCGGACACGTTGCTCCACAGCTGGAAGGCAGAGCGCACGGCCAGACGCACGGAGCCCGGGGACAGGTGGCGAGGGCAGTTGACGATGTGATAGGTCAGGTGGTGCTTGTACCACTTCTCCCCTGCAGAGCCCACACAGAGAGACACAAGCAAAGCCTCACACGATGTTCTAGAAACACAATTCTCTAGTAATGGTTTGCAACAAGAGAAGTAAAGTCAAACAAACTTTGAAGTTGAAATGCAAGATATCTCCCTTAATAATACATTATTTCCTTTAACATTTTTAATAAATTCTGAATGTGTTTCTTTTAACTAATCAGGCTGTTTTTGCGTTTTTTTTTCACTTGAAACATCCAAATAATTTCTACAAAACTAACTTTTTACAATATGTCTAAACTGAAACCCCTCCCAGAAAACCTGGAGACTGAACAGCTCAACAGGTTCTTTACAGGCCATACTGATTTCTAATATCTCATATTCCGCCGAGTCGATCTCACTGGTTGAGCCGGATGACAGGATGGTAACTGTGTCGGCTCACAGGTGGATAAGCTCAAACTATGAGTGCACTCTGGAGTGAAGAGTTTACAACGCATGTCCGTGGTATCTGTGCTCAGACATGATTATGTGTGTCACAAACTTGTCCCATTTTTGTTTTCAGGGAACAGATGGACAGGCGTAAACAAGCAGCAAACCTTTCATTTGAATGAGCTGAACCTCCTCACATACGTATGATTACACATGATGGCAGCGGGGAAAATATGCAGCTGAGGATGGAACGGCTCCCACTGTAAACCTGGGCTGAAACTCCTGTGAAAGACACCGAGGAGCCCAAAGCTTTCGAGGTTGGGTTTTTCTACGAAGTACCATCATAAATCACACTCATTTGAAGCTGCCAGAGTATTTCGAAATGTACAAAACGCACTTGGGAGGTCTGCACACGTGCAGCGAGCACTCCGCTGTGGACAACTTTGGCTCTAAAAAGCGAGTTAGATGTTGCTGTTAGCGCTTGTTTAAATAATGCTCAGCAGAGAAGAGATGTCGGTGATACGCAGAGTTATGTACTACATACTGCGAATTACCGGTGGCCCAAACAGCACCCGGGGGGCCGAAAAATAGCTGGATATCTGCAGCCATTAAGGCATGGGTTTGGCTATCACATCAATGTGTGTGTGAGCAAACACACAAACAGATGTTGTGCCTCAGTGGCAGCTGTAAAGTTAAATACACTTGATGTCGAGCATTTTGGTTAACAACAATTTACAGAAATATTACACAGCTGAAGTGGAGGTATCGGGGGCCTAAAACCCCACATAGGGGGTAGGGACGGTATCCATTGAATCAACATTCTGGGGAATTATTTACCAAAGCACGTAAGCCTGCAACCTTGTTGTTAATGCAGCCCCGAGGAGTCAGATTTTTTGTGAAAGACACAAAGCTGTAGGTCCCATCAGGGATTCTGCATCTCGGCTCCGTTTTCAGTCCCAAAGGAACCACAGGCATGCGGCCCATTAGCACACAGTGTGTGTAGATACGCATCCTGAGTAGAGCCCAGACGCCTTTCTCTCAATCCCAGGGAGTCCCAGAACAACAGGTCCCCCGAGGACGGTGGAGAGGCCAGGAAGTCCGATACACAAGACATTCCAAGACTTCCCTTATGGAAGCAATTAGCATGATGCCCACTATGGCCACAGAGAGAGCAGAAAGTACTGAGATCACCTGATAGCTGGAGTTATTGTTTGTGGAGCTGCAGAGGGGTTTTGTTTGTTAGTGGTGTTAAGCGACTGTTTCTGAGAGTGCAAGGCCCTGCCGGCATTTAAGACGCTCATCACGATTCCAGAAAGGCCCAAGGACACGTCTTATTGCTGGTTTTGTCTGGCATAAAGGAAAACACAAAGAGGTTGCGTGGATAATAATATGAAAAAAAACAGCTGACACAAATGTTTTAAATAGAAAACGAGTAAAAATGTGGACTAAAGAGCGACTAAAATATCAACCAACTCGTTTCCTGTTAATCCGTTTTGTGTGGTTTACTTATTTCCTCATCTGTGTGCGTCTCCCCAAAAGTGAATGTCACTTTCCAGTCACGTGACTGTGAGCTTTAAAATGGATCCACGTGCGCACGATGCTGAATAACAAACACAGCCGTCGCACAAATATCAGAGAAAACAACCTTCGGATTCCACGTGTCAAGGTCTTTGTCGGCTTCCTGGAAGCTGAGAGCCATCGACCACCTTCACGGCGAACAGAAACACGACGGGCCCTCGCCGGGGGGGGGGGGCACTCCTCCCCGTGCCACCCTGGGAGTGGGCTTCATTGTGCAGTCAGCATCAGCAGCCAAGGTCAGCTTCAAATGATGAGTTTGAGTCATGGGTAACCTCAATATAAAGCATGCCAGAGAGGATAAAAGCGATTGCGGCTGTGATCCTACTAAAGACTTTTAAGGACACCAGAATAAGCACGACTGAGAATGTTCTTCTAATTAAATCGCAGTCTAGGCGAGTCTCCTGATCTTTAGGCTCTCCTGTTGCTGCTGGCTCTTCAGCACGTCTGAGAAAACTAACAGAAAGTCCCACAGGGTACGGTTCTGGGGCTAAATAAATATCACATAAACCATATCATTAAGGGATCAGAATCCCCCTAAAAGCGTGAAACACTCCTCAGGTTTTCTGACAAATAAACAAGAGTACAAGGGCGTGCGGCAGAATTTCATTCAATCAAGTAAAAACAAAATTAAATCTATGTGTTCTACACTGAAAGAATACTAAGTATGTGACAAACCTCAGTCTGCAAAGCTGAATACAAAACCAGGATGGAAAGCTTGGTGAAATCATAGATTCTGACCTGAGTATTCCTAACCTCACTCAGTTCGTTAGAAAGTCAGCCTACTATCTACTGAAGAAATGTCTAACGTTAAAGGACCGAGGGGGCTCAGACAAAATGGAGCATGCCTTTTGTGGGTTTGACAGCTGCGTGCCTCTGCGTTGTCGTGTCAAACATATTTCTGCTCCTGTGGTAAATTATGAGCCTTCCGGGCATCTGAAGGCAGTAGGTTTGTTTCTCAGAGTCAGAACGATCACAGAGAAGGCGTGCTCTGTTTTTATACAACACACACATATCGGGGGAAATCTGCCCTTTCTAATTCTTCAAGATTGACATATTGATCAAGGCTTGTGGCAAACATTACCCAAAAAAGATCCCTCCAAACACAGGTGGAATCCCATTAGCTGTTGAAACTCCTGCTTGAGGTTAAGGCGGGGGTGATCACAATCCCTCTGCTCCACTCCATCAGTGGGAGTCATAAACTGGATCTATGAGGGGTTTGACTCGAGGGTGTAAAAGAATCTCCTGCTCTTTGTGAAACCCGACTCATGAGTCACGTCTGGGTCTCAAATAATGACACGGAGGTTGTTTTCCCTTCACCAGAGCAAACAGCAGGAGGAGAGCCGTCACTCAACGGGAATTCCGCCCATTGGGCCGAGGAGATACCGGCCGACCCGTTCAGCAAACAGCGTAATCCAGCCGGTCCCAGACTTACGGACGTGTTTGCTGAAGGGAGCCGGTCAGGTACTGACATGAAGCAGCAAACCTCACCCAGCGCCGCATTCCCCGAGCATCAGCCAATGACACCCGGGACATTCAGGAATGCTGTGGCTGCGCACCCGACCAGGCCGGAGGCGCCAGCGGACCTGGAGCAGCTCACGGAGCCCCGGGATGCTGCTGGAGATGGGAACGGTGACACGAAATATCCCCAAAACCTCCACATTTACCCAAAAAGCAGCTCAGGAGGCAAACAGACAGCCAGCAAAGGCAAAGTTCTACAACAATGAGCTGCATGTAATGAGGGGGCATTTAGTGTTTGCTTTGTATGATTGTGTCTGGGGATAAAATTACAGCTATTACTAGTTCTCTTTTTTTTTT